AGAAGGCCGCCATGGAATGGCGTGAGGAAAACGGATCTAGGAAGGGAGAGAATGTCGAGAAGAAAGGTGTTTGATTAGGAAGAGAGAGGAGTACAAGAAGGGGTTTGTACCCTCTACAGAAAGGTTCAGTAACAACCTACCAAGCCTATATTAAATTATAACTTATATAATTTTAACACACCCCCTAGGCTTGGTAGTGTCAAGCCCACGCACACCCCCACACCCACACCCACACCCACACCCCCTAGCCCAGCACCCCCATTCCCAGCAGGAGCCGAAACGACTCCGGAAGAGGGTAGGTCTCACGGCCCCTTGAGACGGCAATGGCGGCAGCAGCGACAGTGACGACAGCGGCGGCGGCGGCGGCGGTGTGCGGCGGCTCCAGGCCTGCGGCAACAGCGGCGGCGCCGGGGGCTCGAACGACAGAGGCTGGTGCGGCGGCCCCCGCCCTCTCGGCGGCATGTCCTGTCTCCTCGGCGGTGGAGAGGTCCCTCACATGGCAGTCATCGGCTGCAGCAAGAAAGGGGGGGATGCAGGGGAAGCAGGTGCAGGTCGGGGGGGGGAGGGGAGGGGGCGGGGCGAGGCGAGTCTTCAGCGACGCGCCATAAATGGCGCGGCGCTTACTGGCGGGAGGACGTCGTTCTGAGGGACGCCCGTCTGTGGCGAGCGGGCGGCAGGCCCGGCGACGCCACAGACGTCGCTCGGCCGGCCGCAGCCCGACGATGCCGTCGGCTGCCGCAGACGCCGCCACAGCGCACCGTCAATGTCGCAGCGGCGAGGCGGACGGGCGACGGCTGCACCAAGGGGCCGTCGCGACACCTTGGCGCCGCGACGGTAGGCAACGAGGGACCGTCGCGACATCTTGGTGCCGCGACGGCAGGCAACAAGGGGCTGTCGCGACATCCTGGCGCCGCGACGGCAGGCAACAAGGGGCCGTCGCGACAACTTAGTGCCGCCACGGCAGGCAGGCAGAAAACCGCGAAGGCTGCGAATGCAGTAGGAGTACGCAACAGGAACGTAGGGAGAGGGTCCGGTGGACACGACCGGCTCTGATACCATCTTAGAAACTTATGACTCAAGGTTCTTAAACTTAGGAGGCTAGGTTGGCTAGAATACTAGGAAGAAGGCCGCCATGGAATGGCGTGAGGAAAACGGATCTAGGAAGGGAGAGATTGTCGAGAAGAAAGGTGTTTGATTAGGAAGAGAGAGGAGTACAAGAAGGGGTTTGTACCCTCTACAGAAAGGTTCAGTAACAACCTACCAAGCCTATATTAAATTATAACTTATATAATTTTAACAGTTCCAACCAATACACTCTTGATCCGAACCATTTCGAGTTGGGTCCAACTCGAAGTGGGGGTCATTATTATAGCTTCTCGCTTTAATGCCCACACGATAGCACTTCTATTTGTATGATACAAAAACAGACTATATACTATTTACACCGTTACATTATTGAATGCAAAAATGGGGCACACGTGGTGTATATTGGGAAATGTCTTCCCATACTTCCCTCTACAAATGCCTATCGGACTACCATATCAGAACTCCTAACCACACCCCCCCAATATGTACAATCCACCTTGACTCCCTTCCCTACCCTCCCATCTTCATGCCAGCAGCATCAGTCATGAAGCCATTGCGGTCAAGGGTGGGTGGAAGAAGGGCTTCTCCTCGTGCATCCGCACCACCACCACCGGGCAGTCACCTGTGACGTAGTCACACGCATTCACCGCACAGCTAATGCCTGTCAGCATATGTTGTAAAGAAGAGCTGCGAAAACGCAGCAAGCAAAGAGCAACGGTCAATGGTACACAGGCCCCAGAAGGAGAGATGAATGGCTTAGAAGGCTTCAGTTTTGCCACGTGCAACGCTGCGATGAAGTATGGAAGGCTCACAGTGGTGCACACAGTAGTCGCTGACGCTGCCCAATCGCGACTTCCTCGTTCGCCCGTGCGCTCCAAAGCCTCGGCTGCCCATGATGCACGCACTCACCCCCAACCGCTCCACCTGGCAGCGGCACGAGTGATGGAGGGCAAGGAAAGAAGGGAAAGACGTTGAGAGAAGTAAAACACAAAGGTTTCCGTTTAAGCCACGCATTGAAGTTCATGACCGTGTTGCTCCAAGGACACTGCTGCCAATGGGACAAGCCCTCGTTCCCAATCGCCCTACCTCGCACAGGTATGGGTCATGAAGTGTTCTAGGTGTAGAGAGACGAAAAGCCAGGCATACATCACATCAGATGGAGCCCTGCCCGGTATACAGGGGAGTGCATGAGGAGGAGGAATAGAAAGCTGAACCGTGACACAAGGTGGAGGAGCACGTGAGAGTCTGTCTGTGACCATGCCATGCCACCCAGAGCCAGATTTTCATATCTGCATAATCTTCATCACCTTGGAGCAGAAAAGCCCAATGTTCACTGCAGCCCACTGCTAACACCCCAATCCACGATGCCACGGTCCTTCACAATGCCGTTCGTTTTAGCGCAGCGCTCCCCCTGCAACCGCCATTCCCTGTACTGCTCGCCTCAGCTTGCTGCGCTCCAAACCCATCAGTAGCTTCACACCTCGCGGTCTTTCGCGATGTGCACGCACGCCCCTTACTGCTGACGTCAGCTCACTCCTCCCCCAATACATCCCCACTGCGCCGGCTCACCACACGCACCTCCAAGCAGAGCCTCTCCTTCATGTCGTGGTGTCTTGCGGTGTGCACATCCCACAACCCGTCCACCCCCACTACTGCTCACATCGGCCGACTCCCCTCCCAAATCCATCAGTGCCTTCCCCGCCTCGCCGGCTCGTCACACGCACCTCCAGGCACAGGCGCTCCTTCATGTCGTGGCCCTTCACGATGTGCACGCGGAGTGGAATCCCCGCCGCCGCCTTCGATTGCCCACCTCAGATACCCCTCAGTCAGTCCATAGACCGCTCACCTCGGCTCGTCGCACGCACCTCGAGGCACAGGCGCTCCTTCATGTCGTGGTCCTTCGCAATGTGCGCGCTCCGCAACCAATCCACCCCCATATCAGCTGACTCCCCTCCCAACCTTATCAGTACCTTCCCCGCCTCGCCGGGTCATCGCACGCACCTCGAGGCACAGCCGCTCCTTCATGTCGTGGTCCTTCACGATGTGCACGCGGAACGGGATCCCCGCCGCCTTCAGCGGCTCCGCCAGCTCGCGCGCCTTGGCCAGCGTGAGAGCGTCGAACTCCTCCTCCACGTGCTCCTTGATCTCGCGGTCCGCCGCCTTCGCCGCGTCCGTCGACTCCCACGCGCCCCAGTCCGCGCCGTACAGCAGACTCGTGGGCCGCACGTGCAGAATGATCACCTGGCGAGACGCAGAAGGTATGTGCGGAAGGATTGTCGCGAGACTGGGAAGAACTGAGAAGCCGCGAATGACGCGAGGAAAAAGCATGGCTCAAAGAATTTGAAAGCGCATGTGGTTCTCGTGCAAAGGGGACTGATTGATGTTCGAAGACCAGCAGTAATAGCTGCGCTGGATGTACTCCAGCCAGAATCGAGTCCAAGAAAGACGCCGAGGAGGCAAACAGGACTTGATGAAAGAATGATCCAAACAAGGTAGCCGATTCTTACATGGTCCGACGGACGCAGATAGTTCTGCACCGCCCATCGTACGGCATGGGCACTTTCGTCGCTCAGATCGATGGCTATCGCTATCTTGCGAGGTGGGTACTCCATTTGACGCTGACTGCTCGTCGTCTCTAGCGCGTTTCAGAATCTTATGTCCGCCTGAAAAGCAACCAGTTTCTCTGCTCCTTTACTGCACGACAAATGGTTGAAACCCGAGATAGATGGCTGCGTTTGAGTCGATCACTGGCTGAAATCTCTGGCGAAATAACTGAGACAAGAATTCTGGTGTTGGAAAGCAAGAACATGAAATGGCGCAGATACCTCTTGGGGTTGCGAATATACCTATTTCGAAGGGCCATTGTTTGGGGCTGGCCGTTGGAGCAGTTGATTCTGGCACGAAGGGATTCGCATCGCAGAGGAAGCAGCCAGAGCAGACAGCGCAGGATGGAATGTTCGAAGCGATCCCATGTGCTGCATGCGTGGCGCTGACAAGGTGGAGGAGGCAGAGCACTGGGTGCTGATTGGCTAGACGGGGGGCTCAATTTGTTTCTGGCGCGTGCTAGCCCCAAGTTCCTCTGCTGTGAATGGAGCAGGTTGCGTTTCTGAGGGTGTTACACGTCATTATGCTTGGAAGTGACGCTGGGGCACATCGAATGCACAAGTGGAGTGTGCCAGCGCTGCCGTGGAAGTTGATGCCAGCTTCTGAGGCACCCACACATACATAAATTTTTAGACCGCGTGAGTGTTTTGAAGGGTTTCTAGAAATCGGTTTGTAATTATCGAGTCACACTTGTGGTGAGCCCAACTGCTGATTGCGGTGATGCCCACCAGTTGCGAGTGAGCAAGCGAACGTCGCAATCATCGCTGGTGACCTCACAAGCCCCAGCTGGAAGGTCTGGCAGCGAAGGCCTGGCAGATAGCCGGACGTCGCTTCCAAACCTAGAGGCGGTTTCTCGTCAGATTCTGTGCCAGCTGGATTTCTGTATTGCCAAACCCAGACCAGCCTTGCCTCACCCGCAGAAGCAGAGGGAGGCTGGGCCCGCACCGCTGGCTAGCGCGCCGGTTTTCGGCGGGACCCATCAGCGTCCCGTACCGAACCAGCTTGCCGCGTGCGACTGTGACGTGGGTTCAGGTTTGTCATGGCCTGCCTGGAGACCCCGCCCACAACCACTTTCAATGACGATGGACGTCGGAGATCGTCGCAGCGCGTCGCAGGAGAACTGGTCTGGTTCGGGGAGAGACTCACCAATCGTGGACCTGCCCGAGCTGACCTGCCATGCTCTGCCCCGTCGCTCACCTTGGTTTGCCTCGAGTTCGCCCGTCACCCTCCCCTCGTCGCCTCTCGCCTCACCTCGCCGATTCCTCCCTAACCTTGGCTCGTCTCGAATTCCTCATCCACTGGGTCTCGCGGCACTGCACTCGCCTCGTTTCTCGGATTCTCCCGCTTTTTCCGTTCTGGTCGTTCCCTCTCGCCTTGCTTCCGCGTCGCGTTGTGCGTAGACCTCACTCCCAGCCTTCGGCTTTCTTCCTCTCTTTTTTCTCTCTCTATACGTGCTCGCGGCCTTCTCGGTCATTTTCTCTCACTCCATCTCACACTTGTAGGCAGGGGAACTGAGGCAGCCCTCTCGCTGCTTTAGCGTCACCCATTAGCCGATTAATCGACATCGGTAAAGTAGGGCTCTTCATACTTGTAGGGATCTCGCGCCGTCGTTTCCACCCGGATTCCTCAGCGAGCATTGCGTATGTGCCCTTGCTCTGCGCGTGCCCTTTTCCTGCTCACTGATTAATTAATAAACTAATCGACTAACTTCCCTTGCCAGGACTCGGCCTTTCGGACGTCAAGACTCCCATTCTTGGCGCATCCTATTCCTTTGAAAAGGACCTTAGGGGCTGTGAGACAACATTCACTCCTCACCACAGATAACGAAACACTCTGCACGGTGTACTCACCCGCCAACGAAATACCGGCACGGAATACTCACCCGCCATGGCAACAGCCCTCGTGGACCGCGCCGTGGAGCTCGGCGCGCAAATAGGAATCACCCCGACGACGCTCATCTCGCTCGTGTCGCCGCTGCTCTCCATCCCCTGCTGCTTCCTCCTCCGCGGCATCGCGTCGCCCGCGTACCGCCACTTGTGCGCGGCGCTGACGGGGCTACTGCTGGCGCTGTACGCGTTCGGCCCCACCATCTGGGGCCACTACGCCGTGCTCGTCGCCTTCACCTACGCCGCCATGGCGCTGCACCGCCGCCGCTGCGGCTTCATCACGCTCGTCGGCACCTTCGCGTACCTCCTCGCCTGGTGAGTGCCGCCTCAGTCGATTAAGCCCCTCCTTGAGCGGCGAGTAGCGGCGAGTGGCGCCCTGATTAGCGCCTCCTACCCACTCCTTCGGACTTTCGTACCCGCTCCCTCCGCTCCCTCCGCTCCCTCCGCTCCCTCCGCCCCCTCCGCTCCCTTCTTACAATGTTCCGCACTTCTCCTCCCCTTCCCCCCCCCCCCTCCCCCCCCCGGGCACTCTCCCCCCGTTACAGTCACATTATTTATGCGAGCGGCAAGGCCCGGAAGGACCAGGGAATCGACTTTGCGGGGACGCTCATGATGGTGACGTTAAAGCTGACGTCATCGGCGTTCGACTACCAGGACGGCATGTACCTCGTGGACGCGGACCTCCCCACACCGCAGCGCGGCACGCACCGCCACCTCAAGACGCTACCGTCTGTGTCGCAGTACATGGGTTACATCTTCTGTGGCGGGTTACATCTCACCGGGCCGTTCTTCGAGCTCAGACCGTACCTGGACTGGGCCGAGAACCGAGGAGTACGTTGCTCCGTGATTTCCGGGCCACGTTCGCTTTCCTGTTTCCGTCACAGCCGCTCCTCGCTCCCCTCCCCTCGCTATCCCCATCTTCCCCTCTCTCCTCTCTACCCTCCCCACTACCCTCCCCTCTCTCCTCTTCCTCTCTTCGTTCTTCTCAATCTTGATGTCTTTTCGCTCGCTTTCGCCCGCTCCCCTCCTCTCCCCTGTCGCAGGTGTGGTCGCACGACGCTCGCAAGGCACCCTTCGCGATCCCGCTGCTCGTCGCACTCGCGTGGGCGACAGCCTCGGGCTTTATTCACCTCGTCCTAAAGCCGCAGCTCAACTTACCTCTGGTCACCGACCCGAAGCGCTTCTACGCGATTCCGTACCTCCACCGATGGGGACACGTCATCATCTCGACGTACGCCGTCCGATGCAAGATCTACTTCGTTTGGACGGTTGCCGAGGCGAGCATGATCGCCTCGGGATTAGGGTTCAGCGGGTGGGTTCCCGCCAATAAGGCAGCAGCACCGACGCAAGAATCGGGTAGAAGTAACAGCAGCGAGACTGCCGCCGTGAATGCCGCCGTAAAATCCACCGTGATTACCACGACCGCATGGCAACAGGAACGATCGGTTCTGAGGAAATCCTTAGTTCAGAAGAAAGCTCCGCATGGGGTGCTGGGTGATAGCGTGGCTGGGAATGCGGCGAAGGTGTGCGACGCCGGGAAGCGCGCTGCGAAGAGCCCTCTGCGAAAGAATGGCGGAGTAACCATTGCGAATGACGAGAACGAAGCTCCTGAGTTTGGCTCGAAGAAGAGTTACTCGAACGGATTTCTCACCGCGTGCGAGGAGACCAAGGACGATGTTGCTTTGGCGAAGGAGAACGGGACTGTAACAGCGGCGACGGAGCAGGCGAAGGTCGCAGAAGTCGCACAGGCGCCGCTGGTGGCGTCGTGGGAGCGCGCGAAGAACATCAACATCGCGGGGGTGGAGCTGGCGAAGGCTTTTAACGCGTACGCCAAGAACTGGAACGTCTCTGTCGGGCTGTGGCTAAGAACATGTGAGTAACTGGTGACCACGCGCTCCCACCCTGCTTCTCCCGCATCCTTCTCCTCCCTCTCTTTCGCCCTCCCTCTCTCCTCCTACCCTACAGTTCGGAACGCTCCCTAGTCTCCCCACTCTGCTTCTCCCCACTCTGCCTCTCCACTCCTCCAATGCCTTGCCCCTGTTTGTAGCTGCTGACCCTTCCCCTCATTCTCCCTTCTCTCCTCCCCCCTCCCTCCCCTCCCCGCCCCCAACCCCCATTCCCCCCCCCAGACATCTACGAGCGCACCATCCCTGTGGGGCAGAAGCCGGGCGTCTTCTCGCTGCTGCTCACCGTTGGCGTCAGCGCCATCTGGCATGTGAGTGACACGTGGCATGGGGGGTGGTTTGCTCAGACGCATTCGCCAGATCACGTGGCACCCGTTTCTTCACTGCACTGCCACCACCACCACCACCACCAGGACATCTTCCTCGGTGCTTCCATGCCCGCATTCTCTCCTCACCTCCTCCCTGCCCCTCCCGTCTCACCTCCTCTGTGCCCGCCTGTCCCTCCCCATGGCACCACCGCCACCCCCACCAGGGCATCTACATTGGTGACTTCATGTTCGCCTTCAGTGGCGCGTTCCTCATCATGGGGTCCAGAGGTACGAGCTCACGGGGACTGGGAGGCATGCCATGACGCCATCGTGCCATCATGCCATCTTGCCATCATGCCATTCTCCGCGCCTTATCTCTCTCATCTAATCTGATAGCTTCAACCCTCTTCCTTCACTCCCCTCCTCCCCTTATGTGCTCCCTGTCTCTGTGCTCCCTGTCTCCTTCCCCTCCATCCCTCCATTCCGACTCCTACCAATATGCTTCATATGCAGTGATCTACCGCTATCAGCGCACCATCCCTCAGTCGCAGCGGGTGTGGGCCACCATAGTGCAGGCGCTGCACTGCCTGTACTCATTCGCCGGACTCAACTACATCGCCATGGGCTTCATCGTGAGTCGCTGGGGGGGCTCTAGTGGGCGCGTGGCGGGGGATGATGTAGTGTGTGTGTGGGGCCACCACGGTGCAGAATCTGCGCGCTGCACTTCCTCTACTCATTCGCCGGACTCAGCTACATCGCCATGGGCTTCATTGCGAGTCAAGGGGGGCCATGGGCTTCATTGTAGTTCGCTGAGGGGTGTGAGTCGGTAGGGGGGGCATGGCCGCGTATGTGAGTGTGGCGTTCAAGATCGCATCTTGCATTACCATGCACTCACCATCACCCCCCCCATTCTCCCCGTCCCCATCCCGTCCCCATCCTGTCCCCTATCCCAGGTGCTCACAGCAGAGGACACCCTCACGGTGTACCGGGGGCTCAACTTTGTCGGCAACCTCCTGCCGGTGGTGGTGCTTGGGGGCAGCTGGGCGCTCAGGAGAGTGCACGCCCTGCTCCATGCCACCTCCTCCTCCTCCAAGAAAGCCAGGAGCAGCAGCGCTGTGAGCAGCAGCAAGAGCCAGAGAGTGATCGCAGCTGAGTTGGCGACCAAGCAGCCGGAGCAGCAGGTGGTGCAGCTGCTGCAGCCGGTGATGGTGCATGCTAAGGTGGAGTGAAGCAGAGGAGGCGGCTCCTGCGTCGACTCAAAAGTGGTTTCGGCTGCAGAAGCCGGTTATGCACCTGTGGTGCTTGCTAAGGTGGAGTGAAGAGGAGGAGACGAGTGAGGGAGCTTGTACGGGGTACAGCAGCACTGCCAAGGGGAAGAGATGAGTTGAGCTGAATGCTTGTAGGCGCCATGTCTCTTCACTGGATGGCAGACAGAAAAGGAATCCCCAGATTGCAGAACAGTCACTGCGAGGGTGATTTGCTAACCCGTGATGATGTTGACGGGTCTTGGGACCTCGTCGTGACTAGCACGACTCAGTTCTTAGTGGTAGATAAAAGTTAATTGGCTAAGGTGAAAGCTGATTGGAGTAGAGTAGGTAGTACCTTCAGGTGTAGCATAGCCCCCCACTTGGAAATTACGTAATGGGTGCATGCTTTCTGCACCCCATTTGCTGATTAAATTTTATTGTTTATCCCATCTGATCACACACATCTATGAAGGCATGCAAACAGGTCCACCAAATACCATAAATTCGATGTAAAAATGCTAGAAGGTTGTAAAAAAATTTGTGACAACTAGCAGACATAGTGGCACACCTACTGTACCCCTCCTGAATAACCCCTGAAGATTCAGTGCTCAAGGACCAAGGTAATCCAGACCAGAAGCCCTCCCTCACCCAAGCAGCAGACCAGAGTGCATCATATCGCGCTCACTCAGCCCATCCCCAAGCCCACAGCATGAGGGGTGTGAATGTGAAGCAACTGAAGGCCACCATGGGCTGCAGGGTGCCACGGTGCCGCTGAATGCTGGCCCCCCGCCTTTCATCGCTAGCCCCCCGCCTTTCATCGCTGGCCCCTCGCCTTTCATCGCTGCCCCCCCGCCTCTCATCGCTGGCCCCCCGCCTCTCATCGCTTGCCCCCCGCCTTTCATCGCTGGCCCCCCGCCTCTCATCGTTGGCCCCCCGTCTCTCATCGCTGGCCCCTCCTCGCTTCTTCCCCACGTCCACGCCTTCGCTTCCTCCTGGCTCCTTGTGCTCTGCTGCCAGCCGCCTCCTCCTCCCCCTCTTCCCCTACCCCACACCCCTCCCCGTCCTCCTGGTCCCCCCCCTTCACTGTCTCCTCCCCCTCCTCTGCCTCCTCCTCTTGAATTTGCTTCCGTCTCCTTTTCGCTTCCCTCCTCTCTTCTCTGCTGCCCCACCTCTCGCCCCCATCATCCCCATCCCACCTGTCACCTGCAGGAGGCATCCAAAAATCACTTTCCTCCTCCTCCTCATCTCCCTCCTCCTCCTCCTCGTCTCCCTCCACCTGCAATTCTCCACTCACCCCTTCCATATTCAACTCCTCTTCCCCCTCACTCCCCTCCGCTTCCCCTCCTTCCTCTTCCTCCCTGTCCTCCTCCTCTTGCCTTCTTCGACTCCTTTTCGCTTCTCTTCTTTCTTCCCAGCTGCCCCATCTGTCGCCCCCAGCATCCCCATCCCACCGGTCACCAACAGGAGGCATCCAAAACTCCGCCTCCTTTTCCTCCTCGTCTTCGTCTTCGACATCCTCCACATCCTCCCCTTCTCCTCTCTCCTCCATTGTACCATTTGATTCCTCCCCACCGCCCACCTCTTCTCCCTTACCACCTTCTTCCACCTCCTCCCCTTCCCCCCCTTCCTCTACCTCCTCCCCTTCTTCCACCTCCTCCCCTTCTTCCACCTCCTCCCCTTCTTCCACCTCCTCCCCTTCTTCCACCTCCTCCCCTTCTTCCACCTCCTCCCCTTCTTCCAACTCCTTCTCCTCTCCCCCCGTCTCACCACTGCTGCACTCACCCGGCTCTCTGTCACTCTCTCCATCCTCCTCCTCCTCCATTTCTAGTGGCCCTCTTTCAATCCGACCTCCTTCTCCTCCTTCTCCTTCTCTTCCTTCTCCTCCTTCCCTCCCTGCCTCCTGCAGTCTTGACGCCCCATTCTCCACTGCCTCACGACTCTCCCCTCCATTCTCGCCTGCTCCCTCTCCTCCCCTCTCTCCTCCCCTCTCTCCTCCCCTCTCTCCTCCCCTCTCTCCTCCCCTCTCTCCTCCCCTCTCTCCTCGCTCCTCCACTGCTCTCTCCTCTCCCATCCCCCATTCCTCTCCCCCCCGTCCTTCACCCGCATTCCCCCCCACCCCATCTCCGCCGTTCACTGACTGACTGGCTGCCTGCCTCTCTGCCCTCTTAGCTGCCCTCCTTGCTGCCACCTCCTCCTCCTTCTTGGCTGCTCCGCAAGACAAACAACAAACAGCAAGACAAACAACAAACAGCAAGACAAACAACATACAGGAGGAAGGGGGGAGAGGAGAGTGGACGTTGGGACACCTGTTATCATCACAAGCTGAAACAACAGTATTTGCACACGAGAGAGGCGGACACGGAGGGAGGCGGACAGGGAGAGAGGCGAACAGGGAGGGAGGCAGACAGGGAGGGAGGCTGACAGGGAGGGAGGCTGACAGGGAGGGAGGCGGACGGACGAGATGCTCCGAGACGAAACGATGATGATGTGGATGATGATTAAAAAGACTTCACAACCATCTACATGAGCACAAACGAAACCACAGATGGGCGTCTTTTAAAAAAATCAAAGAAAGCACCTGTGGGGTTTGAGACGCACCAAGGCACTTTTGGAACTTGTGGCCCATCATGTGCTTCCATACCGCGTCCTCCGACTTCTGCATTAGCTTGTTGGTCAGCGTGCAGAACAGCTTGTTGCTGCCAGGGACGAAGGAAAGGGGTTTGAGGTTTCTCTTAGATTGTGTGTGTAAGGGGGGTGTGCGGGCACATGTGTGCGCGGAGGGGGGTGTGCGGGCACATGTGTGCGCGGAGGGGGGTGTGCGGGCACATGTGTGCGCGGAGGGGGGTGTGCGGGCACATGTGTGCGCGGAGGGGGGTGTGCGGGGACATGTGTGCGCGGAGGGGGGTGTGCGGGCACATGTGTGCGCGCGAGAGCGGGGAGACGAAGCGGGGAAGGGGAATGCGCGGGGAGATGAGTGAGTGCGAGAGAGGCGAGAAGAAGGGGTGGGGTGGGGTGACGTGGGGTGGGGGGGATGCGCGGCACACGTGTGAGTGATCAACCGCTAAACCCTCGTCTCATATGATCACTATAGCGGATATGCTACTATCGGAGGCGCTTAGAATCTCACGGATTATCCGACGACTGAATAATGTGCGGCTCGAACTTCTTCAGAGCGCGCGACGCGGAAGCCTTGGCGAATACTCTGCTTGCCACGTGGCGCTTCAGGGATTCGTGGTTCGGAAGGAACTCGTGACCTGTCAGCGCGCACCGCAAGCGGCCCGTGTGAGTCCACGTCAGATGCTCCTTGTGCGTCTTAAACAGCGCGCGAAACGCGGGATCGGCAGGTTCGGCTGGGACCCTTTCATCCAGGCTCGGATCTCCCATGTCCCCTCCCTCTTGCTTCTGCGCTTGCCCCGCATACCCCGCTTCCCGCCCTCCGCCGTCCGCTTGCGCCATCGAATTGCGGTCGCGCGGTAAGCGCGGAGAGGAGAGGAGCGCGGACGAGGAGGAAGAGCGCAAGAGAGGGTGTGAGGTAATGATGCGGAGGACCACACTACAGAAGGCTTGTACTCAAGTTGGCCAGGAATCGTCAAACCCACAAACATAGGGAGGATCCTATCCTCATCATGAAGAACTGGACTTCACCATATGGTTCGCCAGTGTACGCCACATTCTCTTGTCTATTTGTCATAATGATTTTTTGAAGCTCATTACGAGAGCCCACACCTTCAATGTTTTCTTGAATGGACAACCAGTGGTATGTCAACTGGACAAGAATCCCCTTGCACACCATCATTGGAACTCACTCATCGCACTGAGTCTGAAACCCATGGCATCACATTGATTATATTTAATTGGACAACAAAGCACAAGTTGCAACCTGTACAAAAGACACCCCTACAAAGCCTACTCCTGTTGCTGCTTTCTCTTAAGCTCGACCAAAATAGTCTAGCTGCTCTTTACTGCGCCTGGACTGGAAGCATGCCAGCCCAATCCTGTGGAAGCCAGGCAGACTTCTAGAGATTTGACACCTTTGATGCATCCTCCATGCCCTAGCTGACCAGGACGACCAGCGCTCAAGAGGAGCAGCTGCTGACGGCAGCTGGATATGTTATGTACCATCCACTGGGGGAAGTCCCCAATGCCTAGTTGGGAAAGCCAGCCCTCAAGCTTGCCGCTCAATGTGCCTGCCAGTCCCATGATCCCATCCCCCCCCCCTATGCACCCTCCCCCAACACACCCGTTCCCGGGTGCATGGGTGTGGTGTGGTGGACGACACCCCGATGCCATGTGCTGAAACCAAGCACCAATGCCATGTGGTGTGGTCCCCGTGTCAAGCAACCCATTTGACACGACCCCGTGTGTCCCGCAGCACGACCCCACGTGTCCAGCAGCACAGGCTCCACGGCCCCACGTTACACAATGGGCACGTTGACGACTTCTGTTTCGGACTGCATGCCGGCCCACGTGGCGTCCACGTCCTGCCGCGCCTCGAGCGCCGTGTGGCCCGAGGCGAGCGTCATGGGGTTGCTGGCCTCGACGCGCAGCTGCCCCGCCGACCGCTGCTGCGTCTCCGCCACCAGCTCGCGCAGCGCGCCCAGCGCCACGTCGTACCCACGCATCACGTTCCTGCATGGCGGAACGGCAAGGAGGGGGAGAGTGCGCCCAGGGTGGCGGGAGGGGGAAGAGGGGGTGTGGGGAGCGAAAGGAGATTAATAAGGCGACCAGACATTCAGCTACACATGAGGTGAACTCCAACATAATCGACGACAGAAGTCAAGACCTTGCTGACCAAGGCACGTGCTTCAGGCAGACGCGCAGCCAGACGGGAACTCGAGAGGCCATCCATCGGTACCTGATGGTGTGGTTGAGCACGCGAGCGACCCAGACGCGGAAGAGCAGCTCTTCCCAGTCGGCGTCGCCCTTCTCGAAGTGGTCAAGGAAGCGGATGTACGCGCCCACCCACGCCTCCTCGTCGCAGAACGACCACGTCGGCCACTCCGTGGCCATGATCAGCCCCTGTGCGCGCGCGGAAACAGAAAGAATGGGGGAATTGAGGTGAGTAAAAAGGAGCGGAGCAGGCTGTGGAGTGACGTTTGAGATACCAAAGAAAGAAGTAGCTAGGGCGTAGTAGTACCTTAGCAAGAGCGGGGTCGAAGTATTGGTGCAGGAGGTCCTTGGCGCGCGGCGAGAGCGGCTCCTTGAGCAACTTGAGCGTCTTCTCCACGTCGTACCCCACCTTCGACCGCACCGCCTCGGGCACAGGCCGCGCGAATTCCACCCGGTGAATCACCGCGTTGCGCTCGTCGTTCAGGCTCTCGGATTTCAACGACTGCAGGAAAGCAGGGCAGGGGTAACCAAAGAAACCGCAGAACGGAAGAAAATGAGTCGCTATTCCAGCCCAAGAGCTGCGGCTGAGAACCTTAGCCTAACAGAAATAAAAATACGGTTGCAGGAGCTTCGCCGAGCCTCCTGGCGACGCACCTGAATGGCGGAGAAGCACTCGATGAGCATGGTGCGGAGGTCGCGGAGCCCGCCGTACAGCGCGTGCATCTTGCCCTCGGGGATGTACACCTCCGCCAGCCGCAGCCCCGCCTGCGCCGTCACGAACGTGTACAGCGTGTCGATGCCCCAGTCGCTCTGCGTGCGCACGCGGTGGTCTGCCACCAGCACCTCCGCGGCCTTCCGCGTCAGCAGCAGCTCGCCGCCCAGCGGCTGCTCGATGTGCGGCAGCACGGAATTCGGCCAGAGCAGCGCGAACCCGATCTTGGTGACGAGCCACGTGATCATGGCGTCGGTGGAGGAGCGCGGGAAGTAGTGCCGCACGATATCGAAGTTCAAATCCGCCTGCTTCTCGGCCTTGGAGATCCATTCCCCCGAGAAGGAGGTGATATCCGCGTCGTAGAAGTGCAGCCGCTCAAACTCGCGGTGCTCCACAAAGAATTGCAGCGCCGTGTTCATGCCGTCGCCCTTCCCGCCGCGCAGGTTCAGGCCTATCCGCCGCTGGAGGCGCAGAATCACGCGCTTGCCGGTGCGCTTCTCGATGCCTGGCGCCGCGGTCTCGATGGCGTGCCACGTCTCGCCCTTGGAGAAGCCGACGCCGAGCACGGCGGAGACGGACGGGTGGGACGCTGCGAGCTCGACGTTGCGAACCGCGACGGTGACGTCCTCCTCCTTGAACGGGAAGCACACCAGGGAGGCCATCTTGGAAAGAGTAATTTGGCTTGGGTTAGGGCTGGCGAGCTGGTCCGGAATTCAAATAGGCAAAGCTACCGCTGAAGCTCCCGAGCGGCGTTCTAGCTGGTGGGTGTTCTGGGGGAACGAAAGAACGCTAGAGAAGCAAAATGCTGGAGGAACTAATTTGACCATTAAGGCAAACCGTGTCCTCAAATATACTCCTAGCCTGGCCTGACCGAGAAAGGGGGAGAGGGCGGGGCAAGCGGGCGGAGGGGGAGGGAGGCGAATGGAAGAGAGGGAGGGGAGGGGAGGTGCTCAGGGAAGGCTCTGCTGTGCTGCTCTCGCCTGGTTTCAAGCTCCAACCTTCCAGAAGCCTGGTCTGGAAGGCTTTGGCGGCCGGCGAATTGCGCGCGCGCCTCTACATCACCAAGAAGAACTGGGGATGGTCGAGGACGCGACCAGGGAATCCCTATCAAAAGTTCACACGTGGCGGGGCTCAATGTGTAAAAACTCCTGGTCAAGATTGAAATAGACTACAAAACAGGGAGGTTTTGAATACATTTTCAAACTGGTGGGTTATATTAGACATTCACTGAAGCTTTCGGGCAGCTTTCTGGCAGAAGAAAACCGACATCCAGATCGGCGACCAACGAGCTTGCCTAGGTGTTATCCTCTCATTTGCTGAAATAGCACATGCCACATAAGGTTCCAGACAAGGGAATCCAGCTGCATGTCGACCATTCGCCAGAATTTCCACCTGGAGTCTTGTAAGCGCTCCTCATCCACTCACAGAGCTTCGTGACAGCTTTGCTGGATAGCCACAATATAAATCGAACGCGAGTCGCACCAATTTCCCCTGTGAGCCGTTGGATGCCCGAAGATCATCGATCGAACGCTGCTGCTCGGTTCGGACCTAGGATACAGGAGAAGTTGGCGTATGAAGTGCTCCACATAACCCTTCAGACGAGGTTGAGACATCACACAATCCCGCAGAAGCCTACCACGTGCGAGTGAGAAGAGGAGGCGAAGATTTCAGTGCAAATGGAATGTATGATTTCGCATTTGAAGGGAATGTAAGCAGGCAACAAGCCATAAACATGTTGGCCGTAAAAGGTGAGAGTGCAATAAAGCTAACAGGCTCTCCATAACGGAGATCGCATGCCAAACTTTTGAAGTGAAGTGAAGCAAGTGCCAAACTTTTGGCTGCACTGCACCGGGCGCTAGCGTGGCAAACCGAACCGAACCCGAACCAGCCCACCCAAGCACTTGTTGACGATATGACGCAGCAGAAGCACTGGTAACACATTTGTCGTCACCGAGTCGCGCCTGCCTGTGCACCAGCCCCGGTTTTCCCTCCAAAACTCTGACACCATTGTCTAAGCATTCCATTGTCAATGGAAGAATCAAGGGAAATTATACGCTGGTTAACTCTTACTCTTCGATTTCCAGATTTAGTCACTCTTTTCTCATCTCAGTCAATGTTTTATCGAATCGAAATCAGCAGCTATTGGGCTGAGAAAAAGCCCTTAGGATCTTTTGCAGAGACTAAGTCCCAGCTGTAGAGACTTTGAGACTTTGAATAGTGCAGCGGAAGTTGAGGTAGTTGAACCCTTGTACTAGTATGTGAGAACAAGTGATTGATTAAAGAAACAAGCATACAGCAATATATAGAAGATAGGAAGGCAGTTGTAGAATACAGTTACAGGAACGGTTTATCGAGTCGCACAGCGACTCGATTGCCGCTTCGGTTACCATCCGTGATGTTGTAACGGTCAGTCGCAACCTCCAGTTGCGACCTTTCGAGTCTTTTCGCATTCTTTGTCCGCCCCCTCGTGTAACTTCCGTTGACTCGCGTGCTCCCCTGTAATCTTCCTCGAGTACAGTGTTACCACTTCAGAAACGCTCAAGTCCTTTTGAGATATTTCCAACACTCCCCTTCGTTTCTGGAGTGCTGGAATGTTCAGATCCGGTGACGTTTGTTTGCCCGGTCAGGAGCATGCAGTAGTCGAATTTTGCTTTCGCCAATTTCTTCGTCAGATAATCTGCGGCCATTTCTGTCGTTGGGCAGTAACTGAGTTGAAGTCTCCCCTTCGCGATTTCATCCTTGACGAAGAAGTACCGCAGGGCGATGTGCTTGGTTCGGTTGGCGAAGCCGTCCTTGTTCGCGATTTTGATCGCAGATTGGTTGTCGCAGAGGAGTGAGAAGGCGGGCAGGGTCGCAATCTTCGCTTCCTCGAGTAACTCCCGTAGGTAGAGTCCTTCCTTGGTCGCAGTACAAAGGGCGATATACTCTGCTTCAGCCGAGGATAGTGCGATTAACTCCTGCTTGCTCGACTGCCAGGAGATAGTTCCGATGGGTTCTAGTCGGTAGATATAGCCCGTCCTAGATCGTCGATTTTCCCTATCTCCCGCGTGGTCGGCATCGACGTATCCGAGTAGTCGTACGGACGGTGTTGTCGCTTTGCTGTAGGTAAGTCCGATCGTCGGCGTGGAGACGAAGTAGAGTAGTGCCCGGTTGAGCTCCTCGAGATCTTTCTGTTCCGGTTGCTTCAGATGCGTCGCCAGTTGACTCGCACTATAGGACAGGTCGGGTCGGCAGGTTACTGCTGCGAACAGTAGGCAGCCGAGCTTCTGTTGATACTCCTGGATTTGCTTCGCGGGGAGTTTTGCGGAGGTGCTGTTGTTGTTCCCGTAGCGGTAGGGAGTTGGGACCGTAGTCGGTGTTAGACCGAATTTCTTCGCGACGGTGCCTGAGTACTTTCCAGCGTGTAGGTAGAACGCCGTGTCGTCTTCGACGACATTCAGTCCTAGGTACTGGGTCACTTCGTCGGACACCGTGAGTGTTAAGTCTTCTTTCAGCTCCCCTTCGAACCAGGTAGCGATGTCGGTAGTAGAGCAGGTCGTCGACGTAGACGATGAGTAGGATATACTCTCTTCCCTTCTGCAGTCGATACATCCCTTGGTCATGCGGCAGTTGTAGGAATCCGATTTTTGCGAGACGACCGTGGAGATGCTGCTGCCAGAGCCGCGGGGCTTGCTTGATCCCGTATAGGGATTTTGTCAGTTGGCATATTTTCGTGGGGTCGTTGATGAATCCGTGGGGTTGTTCGACGAAAATCTCAGCGTCCACAGGTGCGTATAGGAACGCATTCGCGACGTCGATTTGGCGTAGTGGTAATGTCTTCGTGGCCGCGACGGTGAGTAGGATGCGTAATGAGGTGTGACGGGAGACTGGAGCGAAGGTTTCTGTGTAGTCGGTCCCGTATCGTTGATCGAAGCCTCGTACGACCCATCGAGCTTTGAATCGTTCGATGGAGCCGTCTGACTTGGTCTTAATGCGGTACACCCATTTCCCCGAGAGGACGTTTTTTCCGTTGATGCTTGTTGCAGGTACCAGTTTCCATGTTTTCCGGTCTTGCAGAGCCTTTAACTCCTTTTCCATCGCTTCCTTCCATTTCGCCTTATGTTCCCCCCCCAGAGCCTGCGACAAGGTTGAAGGCTCTCGCGGAGAAGGCCGCGGCGGATGCTGGACGGAGACCCAGAGGCCTAGAATCTGCAGTCCCGTGGGTGTGTGTCGAGGGGAATTTTCATTCCCGGAATAAGCTGCTTCGTCACCGTCTTCTGGGTCAGGTAAGAAGTTGGGACCGATGCGTTATGAAACATTTGTGTCGACTGGGTGGGGTGTAATGTAACATTGGTCAGCGAAGTGGTAAAAGGTGTCGAGGTTGTTGCTATCGAGAGGATTGTCTTCGTCGAGTGGAACAGGTACGGAACAGAATGGGAGTGGTCCGGCAGTTTCCGAGGCTTCAGGTACGTCTTCTTCTGCTGCGTCAGCTTCGGCAGCACGGTCCGCGAAGGAACGAAGTCCCGAGAAGCCGTCGGTGGGGTTTTATGTGTTGGCAATGTTGTCCAGGTAATGCTGCAGCGTCAGTCGCTCGTAGAAAATAACATCACGCGATGCCACGGTATTTTTGTCTTGTATGTCGAGAATTTTCCACGCGTGAAAATGTTTTGCGATGCCGAGGTGTAGTCCCCACCTAGCTCGTTGTGTGAAGCGTCCTGCTCAGGCTGTGTGGGGTCTGTACTGTACCATGCAGCCGAAAACTCGGAGTAATTTTGTGCTTCCCCTTTTTCTTGTCCACAACAGGTGCGGTGATGCGTTGTTGGGAAGTGATGACGAGGACAGCAGGTTGTGCAGGTGAACGGCATGTGTCATCGCGTCTGGCCACAGTGTGGTGGGCAGCCTCATCCCCAGAAGCAGTTTTCGCATCGTCGTCTGCAAGGTCCGGTTCATGCGTTCTGCTACCCCTTGCTGCTGGTGAGCATAGGGCAGAGACACCAGGCGTCGGATTCCTCTTTCCGCCAGATAGGTCCTGAAGCGTTGTGACTGGTATTCCAGTGCACCGTCTGACTGGAAGCTCTTGAGCTTGGTTCCTGATTCTCGTTCGGCGATGGGTAGCCATGTGGTGAAGGCCTCGAAGGCTTGATCGCGCGTTTTGAGATTGAAGTGCCAAACGTATCTGGTTGCTGCGTCGATGAACGTGATGACGTAGTTGAAGTCGGCTTCGGTGTCTTCTCGAGGCATGTTTAAAATGTCCCTGTAGACCTTTTCCATCGGAGCGTAAGTAGGTGCGCTTGGGTTGTGATGAGATGGGAAAGGTTGATGAGGAAGATCTGCTTCGGGGCACGTGAAGCACCGTGCTCGTGGTCGTCGAAGTTCTTGGCCGCTCGTCGTTAGAAGGGCGTTGCGTTCTAACACCTCTGCTTGGATTGTTTGTAGTATCGTGCTGTTTGCAGGATGTCCGAGACGTTGGTGCCAGATGTCGTCGGAAGCGCGATGACCGGGCGAGCGGTGGTAGATGTCGGCGTTGGAGAAGAACGCGACGACTGAGGCGGGACTTCGACAAACTTCTCGTGTGATGGGCATGAGCTGGTCTGCTTCGGTTGGCGGTCCTCGGGTCGCTGGTGGTGGGACTCGGCTGGGTCCTGCTGCCGATACTGCAGGCGATGGTTTGGTCGGGATACTTGCGGGTACTTGTCTTTCTTGTCTGATAACTGCTAATGCTCGTGTTCTCTCTGCTGCAGGTATGGTGTTGGAGTGCCAGAGGCCGTCACTGTCGAAGTCGGGATCAAGATCCGGCGGGTGAGTCCAGGCGGTGAACGATACGATACCGTCGCTGTCGGCAGTACCGCGGTCGGGGACGAAGTCCAACACGAAGACGCCGGACTTCAGGAGGGCACGACCGATGAAGAGGCCGCCCTTCCCGTGGTAAAGCCGAAACTCGTTGGAGTAGGAGTCGCACTCCAGGTGAATCCCCTTGGCCATTAGTTGGCTTACGCTTAGTAGGTTGTATCCCAGATTGTCGACAATGAGCACTTTGTTGAGCTGAAGTATGACGTTTGTCTCCATGGATTGTAACTGAACCACGCCTTGTCTGTTTGTCTTCAGGTTTTCGTTGTTGGCGACGGTGATGACGACTTCGCGGTTGAGGCGTTTCTCCTGTTGCACGAAGCGTCCCGAGGAGCACATGTGTTGACCGCAGCAGCTGTCCAAGAACCAGGTGTTTCGCCCGGTGGGTTCGGCGTTGGCGACCGCAGCATATGTTGGATTGACTTGAAGGCCTTGTGAGCGCGGTGGCGGCAGCTCTTCTTCGTCTGGCGCGTAGGTGGGTGGTGATCCGGGTGCGCAGTTGTCGATGTGTACCATGCAATTGATAATGTTTGGTGTTTGTTGTGCAGATGTTGAAGAGCGCCTTGGGGGACTTGCTTGAGTGGAAGCGACTTGTGGGTCTGCTGCACGGTAAACGCGAGGGCAGTTGCAGTTGACCTTGGAGTGCCCGGAAGTCTGGCAGTTGTGGCAGAACGGCGGCACGAAGGTAAGTCCCCTGTTGTCGCGTTCTTGCTTGCCGCGTCGATTGTAGTTGTTGTCGTTTCTTCGTTGAGTGTAGAAGACTAACTGCTGTTGCTTTCTTGGTTGTCTTTCTTCGAACAGGTCCATCTCCTGTTGTTCAGCGTGAAGCTCGGCGCAGAGGTGCATCTCCGAAATCCTTCCGTGGGCGCGAAGAAGCGATCGTGTGGTTCTCCATTCTGGCCCGAGCCCGGCGAGGACAAGTGTCACGAAGCTTTCTTCAGTGATTGTACCTCCGCACCGAAGCAGGCGGTCGCGGAGGGTCTGGCAGCGACTCATATACTGCATCGCCTTTTCCCCGGTCTTCATCTGAATTGTTGTCAGTTGTTGCATGAGTCTGCTTTGTGTCACGCTGTCGTTTGCTTGGTAAAGGCATTTGAGATGGTGCCATGCGAGCTCCGCGGAGTTTCCATAGCTCCTGTATGTTCTGATGCTCTGCTGTTCTTGTGGTGACAGGTTTCTCAGGAGAACCGTATACGCCAGCAGCGACTGATAAGTAAATATCTCTTGCTCTTTTGCAGTGCCGTTGCTTGGGAATGGCAGGGACCCATTGAAGTATCCCAGGAGATGCGCGGCCTCCATCAGCAGCTCGAACTCGAAGCTCCAGGTAAAGAAGTCGTGTCCGTTGAACGGTGAGGATGTCTGCAGTTTTATCACGTGCGAGAACTGCGCCTGGAGACTTAAGATTTCGTTTGGTGTTTGTTGTGATGCAGCTGCTGTTGGTTGTGCACGGGGCGGCATAAACTCGAACGTCCCCGGTGAAGAGTGATAAGGCGCAAAGGTAGGCGCTTGATTGTGTCGCCCAAACGATGAGTTGTCGAGGCTCATCGGTGCTAATCCCATGTTTCCTCCATTGCTTTGTGTTGAATGCGCAGGTGTCCTTGTCTGCTGCTGCTGGTCGAAGTGCGACATGAAGCTGAAGAACCTTTCCATAAGGTTGGGGTCCACGCTTGAAGAGGGAGATGGAGTCACCATCTCTGGTACTCTTCCCGTTGTTTCTTGAGCAGTCCCGGTCTCTGTCTGCAGTCCTGAGGTGTGCAGACCAGAGTTGCCGTGTTGAGTTCCTTGGCCGCTGGGTGAGCCCGTAGAGACTTTCTTGTCCTTGCTGTCCATGTCTTGTAATCAATGAAGTCGTTGAATTGAGTTGAGTTGTAGGTTGTTGATGGAGCGTAGTTGCTGGGAGTTTGGTCTCTGACCAGCTCTCATACCATATTGGGCTGAGAAAAAGCCCTTAGGATCTTTTGCAGAGACTAAGTCCCAGCTGTAGAGACTTTGAGACTTTGAATAGTGCAGCGGAAGTTGAGGTAGTTGAACCCTTGTACTAGTATGTGAGAACAAGTGATTGATTAAAGAAACAAGCATACAGCAATATATAGAAGATAGGAAGGCAGTTGTAGAATACAGTTACAGGAACGGTTTATCGAGTCGCACAGCGACTCGATTGCCGCTTCGGTTACCATCCGTGATGTTGTAACGGTCAGTCGCAACCTCCAGTTGCGACCTTTCGAGTCTTTTCGCATTCTTTGTCCGCCCCCTCGTGTAACTTCCGTTGACTCGCGTGCTCCCCTGTAATCTTCCTCGAGTACAGTGTTACACTTCAGAAACGCTCAAGTCCTTTGAGATATTTCCAACAGCAGCGTCAAACGTTTTGTTCTATTTGATGCCGCATGGCAAAATATTTCGACACGTGTCCCAGAAATGCCATGGTGGGTGTACAAACACGCTTCTGGTGGGAGCAGGTAGCCCATGCTATGCCTCTTTCTGCTGCCTCCAAGCAAGCAGAGCAGCACATGCTTCTGCTAGGTGCAAGCAGCACGTGCTTCTTTTTCCGTGTACCTAGATGCAAGGAAGAGGCACACTTTTCTGGTGGTACAGTTATGTTATGTAGGTGCATTCAGCACATCCTCCTGGTAAGTTCAAACAGGCAGCCCATGTTTCTGGTGGGTGCATGTCTCTTGACCCTGCCCGATTGGGTTTGGATTTGGTTACGAGCACGATGACATCCATGTACACTGGTACACTCTCTCGGGGTTGACGAAGCTAGTGCTGCCAAGTACCGTGGACGTCAAGTTCCTGAAGGGAGGGAGGCATGGCAATGCCACATGCTGTAGGAGTGGGAGCTGGAAAGAGGGGTTGACCTGGTTGCTAGTACCACCTTGATAGAAAAGCGAAGGTAAAGCTGGTGAAAGTTGATTGACAATCCTTGCACCACGTGCGAAGTCTTGAGCAAGTGGTTGGAAAGGGGAGGGTAAGAGTAATGGTAGTTGTACAGGAGTAGCAAATGGAGTGTCAATATACCATGTGCATCCATATGCACAATGGATACCAATGAATGATCGCTACGGGGTAACCACCCGTTGGCCATAAAAGGTGACCGTGCTGTGATCGTCGCCAACAAATCGCCAGTGCCACGGCTCATACATGATGCCCCTTGTGTTGTCAGGCGGAAAGGACAACTCGAAGTGAAACCTGTAAACAAAAGGAATGGCCTGATCAGCGTGCGAATTTCGACTAAGAATCCAACAGAACGCACAACATCCAAGTACCCACCTGTTTGCATGCTTCTGCAGCCAATAGAATGCTTCGGTGTTTTCGAAATCTGCACGCAACATCCCGAGGGCAGGGCAGTGAACATTCAATAAACTAAAACGGCATGGGAACACCACAAAGCACCCCACAAAATTACAGACTCACATGCCCTTAGCTCACATGCTATAACCTCACATGCGATAAGGCAAAGTTCATAACCCTTTGCTCCAGACTCACCAAACTCTAGATGTGTGGCAGGAGAATTCGCATCCCCAATGTCAAGGGCGTAGCCCGTGTGATGCTCACTGAAACCTGGAGGGGCGGATACCTGCTTGGGGGAGAGCAGGGATAGGAGCAGGAGCAACAGCGGGTAATGCCGATATGGGTAGGGTTGGTGGCAAGAGAAGGAGGGCAGACAGGAACCCTTGGTGAAACTGGCCAGTTGAGAGGAACTGCTAGCACACAGACAGGTACTCACCGGGCTTCCTTGCCATGACACTGCGATGGTCACACTGGAAGATCACCGCAAAGTCACCTCCATCTCTGTCGCACACCAGCCCCCCTTCCCCCCCTTCCCACCCCTTCCTCCCCCTCTCCCCCAGCCCTACCCACCCACCCCCCCCTCCTCCTCCTCCTCCCTTGGCACCTTGGCTCGCTGTCTGATGTTCTGGTTGCGAGCCGCCTTCACTCCGTAGAACACTGACTGCTGGTCCTTCACCGACCGGAACCTGAGCAAACGCAGGTAGGGGAGGAGGCGTGGGAGGGGGAGGGGGGCTTATGAGTGCGAGCCGCCTTCACCCTACAGAGGGGAGGGTGGAAGAGAGCAGGTTGAGAGGCAGGACGCGAGAGGGAGGCAAGTGACAGAGAGGCAAGTGACAGAGAGGGAAGTGACAGAGAGGGAAGTGACAGAGAGGGAAGTGATAGAGAGGGAAGTGACAGTATGGTATGGGTGAGCAGTGGTGTGGGAGATGGGAGAAGGCGAAGGAGAAAGGGGGGGGTGATGGACTCACCCTGAGAGCGGGGTGAGGAAGATGCCATCCCGCCGTGCAGCATCCTGCATGGAGAGGAACGCGCGCGCTGCTGCCGTGCGCAGCTGCACACTGGCAGACGCGACAGGAGCGATGGGGGGAAAGAGAGGACAGCAGACGAGGGTGAGAGAGTGCTGACAGGAGCGCACACACTGCTGCCGTGTGCAGATGCACACTGGGAGAGTGAGGGGGAAGGAGGGAGGGAGGGGGTTGACGAGACGGGAGGGGAGCGATGCAAATGGTGAGGGGGGAGGAACAGTGGGCGGTGGCAGCAGCGTGAGAAGAGTGATAAAGCGTAGCGACCATCTCAAGGTTAGAGTTTTAAGGATACGGCATGCACCGGTTAACAGCAGTAGTTCACCTGCCATCGCTCACCTGATCGCTCACCTGATCGCTCACCTGCCATCGCTCACCTGCCATCGCTCACCTGATCGCTCACCTGATCGCTCACCTGATCGCTCACCTGATCGCTCACCTGCCATCACCGCCCATCGCCCACCTGCCATCACCCAGCACGGGGCGCAGGTCGCTTGTAGGTGCTTCCTCCACCGCGTAGTGGCCCAGCACCTGGGTGTGAGGGAGGACGGCCGAGCGGAAGGAGAGTGAGATAGATGGGAGACGTAGGAAAAGCGAAGGCAGTGCGGAACGGAAAGGAGGGAAGTCTGTGACATGTGAGGGGTGTGTGGTGGGAGCACGGAAGTGGAGCCAACTGACCTGGTCCTTGACTGGGAGACTGGCCGGCGCCACCATTGCTGCACGGCGGAGACAGGGGCGGGAGAGTTAGGGAGGAGAGGGAGGAGTGGTGGCGGGAAGGGGGGAGTGTGCGATGACTGGGAGAGAAGGCAGCGGCAACCTCAGGAGGAGTATAGCGGCGGCGAGGGGCGGTGGCCGTGGCGAAATGGGAGATAGTGGAGGCAGACGGAACCGGAAGGCGAGGGTGGGGAGGGTGGGGAGGGTGGGGAGGGTGGGGAGGGTGGGGAGGGTGGGGAGGGTGGGGATTGAAACCAATGGATGGGGGGCGAGGGGGTGGCAAGGGGTGTGAGTCTGGCCCAACCTGAGACAGAGGCAGCCGGCGGAGCTGGGAGCGACTTGTGCCGTGCGAAAGCGGCGCCAGCAGCGACGACGCACGCGGCGACGAAGGTGGTCGCAGAGGCGGCAGACAGCGGGAACGACGAAGACGACCCGCCGCCATTCGCGCTGAGCGCTCGTCGCTGGGCTCGTCGGATTGGCTGCGTCGTGTTCGCGCGCGAGGCTTCCCCCTCCCCCGACCACCCGGCCGCAGCTCCCCCCGCCCCCCCTGCCGCGCCGAGCTTGATCCGCGGAATGCAGTCTCCGCTCGGCGCAAGCACGCGCGCAAGCATCTCCGCCCGCTCCGCCGCCACGTTGTCCCCCGCGCCCTTGTCCTCTATGAAGCGCCGCCGCGCTTGTGTCGCGGGGCTAACGGCGCTCCCAGCGGGGAGATCGGCCGAAATTAAGACGTCCTCGTTAAAGTCAATAGGCTGGTTAACGATCCCGTTATTATGAGTCAGTTCTCCCCCGTCAGTGAGATATGCGCCTGGCCGGACACCGTCCATTATAGTCACACTCGCGTTATTCGTGAGATCCGCTGCGCCGATACCTGCTGTGCTTGCCTTGGCCAAAGCCCGTTGAGCTCGTACACCCGCGTCCCCGATACAAGGCTCTCTAGCATAATCAAAGAGGCGGCGAGCTCCGCTGTCGCTTCCATGCCTACCCACTGGAGTTGCTCGATTGTGTGATTCAGACGAAGCACCAGCGCCTCGATAATGGGAGGCGTGATTGCGTAACCCGTTACTGTCCCTGCTTGACGAAGCGCACACGGGAACGAGGCGAAAGCTGGAAACTGGTGCACGAGGGATGAGAGCTAAAGACGCAGGCTTATTAATACAACACCGTTTTAATGGCGGTGGTAGGATGCTGCTTTTTTCCTGTTGTCTCTCGCTCCATAGTCGCTTCCCGAGAATTGCTCCTGTAAGGCTCTTCACGGCACTGTACGCCAGTTCCATGGGCTCCGTGGCTACGTGCTGAGGATGCTCAGCAGTAACAGTTAACAGGTTCGTAGATGTCAGTAGATCGCATTATGCCTTGACAGCCATGGCATGTGAAAGGTCGCGTTAGGGAAGACAGGGGAAGTGATCGTTGGGGAGGATGGCGATGGAGATGAGGATGGTGATGGTGAAAGGAAAATGGGCGGGAAACCTTGGGATCGCTTGAAACTGTACATGTTTTTGGATTTCTACTTGTACAGTGTGTGTCTTGTGCTTCGAGTTTTCTTGGTGCCGCGTCTGTGCTTAGCGCGAATAAATGTTGATCAAGGCCGAATGCACTGTGCTTACATGTTGATCGTAGCCATCGAGACCAAAAGTGTGGCTCACATGTCATGTGTGGTGGTGCGTCACGAATCGCCTGAATCGACCCATGCACTGGATGGAGGGAATCCGTCTGATTGGCCAGACACTTCCCAGATTGCCCCAAACCACCAGACAGCCCTTGCCTCGGGACCAAGCAGTCGTGTTTCCTTGTACATCGGAGCATCGGACGGCGGAGAGATGATATCGACCAGAAGCGAACCTGCTGGGACGATAAATCATGCGGTCGGAATCCACTCTGCTCATGTGGCATCTCGTCACGCTCGCACTCTCTCCCCCAGACCAACGCTCCCCTCCAAACCAACGCTCCCCAACAAAACCGATTTGAAGCAGAATAAACCGAGCTGAACCATACAGAACCTGACCTGCACTGCTTCGCTGTCTTCATGATCCAGATAACTTCTAGGTGTGACCTCTCATCAGAATCTATTCAGTTCAGCTCGGGCGTAGTGAAGCCGTGCTTGCACGTGAGTAGCATTCCTCGCCCAGGTTCCCTGCGCCCGTAAGGCCAGCCATGGCTGGATTCGAGGACTTCTGCGCGTCGCTGGGGCTGTCCGTGGGGATCGGCAAGTTCCTGGTGTGCTACCTGATCAGCATCCCCTGCTGCTTCCTCCAGCGGCTCCTCCCAGCCGGCGCCGTCCGCCATGTCTGGGCGACGCTGTCCGGCCTCGTGCTCACGTACATTGCGTTCGGATACGAGTCGCTGGGTCATTGCGTGGTGGCGTGCGTGGTGGCGTATGGATCCATGCTCGTGTACCGCAGGCAATGCGGGGTGATCACCTTCTTCACCACTTTCGCGTACCTCATCGGCTGGTTAGTGAACGCCCTCAGGCATCTCCGTTTCTCCTGTATGAATCATGCCTTGTGTTTAAGTCGTCGTTCTAGGGCCTGAATCTAATCCGCTTCTAATCAGCTATGGTTTCTTGTGCGTGTTTGTGCGTGTTGGCAGCCATGTGTTTTACATGAGCGGCGATTCGTGGCGGCAAGGAAACATTGACTTCACTGGTGAGCTTTCATGCAGTTCCGTTCCAAGCATGCTCTAGCTGCATTTGCCATAGAGCGATCGCTGCATTTGCGATCGCATGATCGCTGCATGCGCAATCATTCACTTAATGCTGATCGTTCGTTAATCCTAACTCTTTTCTTTAAGTTAAACGATATTCTGAATCTGCTCTTAAGCGAACAAACACCTCGCCCGGTAGCAAATGATAATACGTTTGGACAACCAGACACGCGACGGAAACCCCACATTGTCCGAAACCCAACATTCCTCTCGTGAGGCGCCATGATGATTCTGGTGCTCAAGGTGGCGTCACTGGCCATTACCAGGATGGCGGCGCGCCGCAAAAGGCTTTTGACTCGACTCTAAAGCAGACGTTTCCGCTCCTCCCCATCCTATCAGGCGCCATGATGATCCTCGTGCTCAAGGTGACGTCAGTGGCGTACGACTACCAGGACGGCGGCAAGCCGCAGAAGGCGGACGACGCCAAGGCGGCCGCTGCAGCGGCGGCGAGCGACGCGCCGAAGCCGATCAAGGCGCTGCCGAGCCTGCTGCAGTTCCTCGGGTACACCTTCTGCTGCGGGCTGCACTTCGCCGGACCCTTCTACGACTTCTCCGCCTACAACGACTGGATCGACCGCAAGGGGGTACGTACCCCTACCGCCTCCCACCTTCCTGCCGTGCCTTCCGCCTTCCTGCCGTGCCTCCCACCCTCTTGTCTTGCCTTCCGCCTTCCCCAATCAAACGAGTCAATCCTTGGCTCACCGGGTGCAAGAATCACCGGGCTGTTGAGCTGTCACTTGGGAAGCCTTGGCTTAAAGCCTGACGGCTTGGTAGTGGCTGCATTGGTCGCAGCGTTCAGTGTCATTCGGAGGCTCCATCTGCTGCCCAACGCAGTGCTGGTGCTGTCAGGTTCACCTACTTCACAGCACTCTCGGACCTCTCTTGACCTCTCTTGACCTCTCTTCTTCGTGCAGAAACCGCTTCAACATGCACACCGCCTCGCACTACAAGCCTCCCTCACTTCCTCCCTCAACCCCCTCCCCCTTCTCTTCTCCCCCCAAACCCCCCCTCTCTCTCCCCGTCCCCCGCCCACCAGATCTGGGCGCCTGGCACGCGCACGCCCCCGGCGCTCGTCCCCTTCCTGCGCGCGTTCATCCAGGGCATCTTCGCCGCAGTCATCCAGCTCAAGCTCGCGTCCATCCTCGATATAGACATCCTCAAGACGCCCAAGGTGTACTTCGACATGCCGTACTGGCGGCGGTTCCTGTTCATCTACCACGCGTGCGAGGTGACCCGGTGGAAGTACTACTTCATCTGGTCCATCTCCGAGTCCGCCATGATCGCCGCCGGGCTGGGGTTCAGCGGATGGGTGCGCAAGATGGGCAAGGGGGACGGCGGAAAGGAGGGCGCGGGGAAGGAGAACGGGGAGGGTAAGGAGAAGCACGTGGGCGGGAGCTTCTCGGAGGTGGCGTCGTGGAAGCGCGCGCAGAACTGCCACATCCTGGGCGTGGAGCTGGCCACCAGCACGGCCACTCTCGCCACCAACTGGAACATCTCCGTGGGGCTCTGGCTGCGCACCTGTGAGCCCGCCTGCCCTTCCATGCCCCTACCTTCTCTTGCCGTTGCCTGCTCCCTCACATCTCCCCACCCCTGCTACCAGCTCAAATCGCACCACCCCGCATTCCCCTTGCTGCTGCGCTACTCCTCTTCTCCCCGCGCGCTGCCTTACGTTTCCTCCCCTTCGGCGTTGTGCCGCGCTCCTTGCGCCCGTGCGCGATGCCCTTCCCCTTTCCCCAGCCCGCTCCCCTTGCCCTTTCTCATCGCCCCTCCCCGCCCCGTCCCCACCCCATTGCCCCTCCCCCCCCCTCTGCCCGCAGACGTGTACGAGCGGCTGGTGCCAGCTGGCGGGAAGCCCGCGTTCGTGCATCTGCTGCTCACCCAGATCGTCAGCGCGCTCTGGCATGTGAGTGCAGGGGGTTCGGGGTTTAGCCTCTGGTACGGCAGTGGGAGGTTTAGGGTTTACACTCTGGTGTTGAAGTGGAGGAACATGAATCTCACACACAGTCTCACACGAATCTCTCACGCGGAATACACAGGCTGGAATTAGATGCCAGAGGAAAGCGAAGGGGAAGGGGAAACGAGCAGGAATTCCTAAATGTGCCAGGGGAAAGCGAAGGAAGCCAAGCCCCCTAGTGCTGCTTCACGCATTCCTCTGCACGTGGCTTCCAAGATTCGGGCTCGGGGATATGGTTTGAAGCATAGTGTGGCTAAGTCCAGGGTTTAAGGTCTAGGTTTTAAGGGGCAGCGTCGACGGTGGTCAGTTGCGTCACCAGTGCCTCACTCTCTTGCCTGTGCCATGCTGGTGTCCCTATCCCCCTTCTCTCCTGACCAGGGCCTGTATCCCGGCTACTTGCTCTTCTTCGTTGGCGTGGCTCTTGAGATTGCCGGCTCTAGAGGTATGCTGCAGCCTGTCACCCCCCGCTGCTGGCACGTCTCCTTCGCTCCACTCTCACTCAGCACTCCGCTTTCTTGGGATAGCTCCTTGTAGTATCTCGGTGTTTGCTTTGGCCCGTGTTCTAGCCACTCTCCCCAACCCCTCCCCCCCGGTAGTGATTAAGATCGAACGAGCGCGCCATGCTGATTTCGTATCACCCCCAGCCATTCTCCTTCGTGAATGGCCCTCAATCCTTCCCACCCTGCAGTGGTCTACATGTACGAGCGCGCCATCCTGGTGTATTTTTAGTCGACTCAAAATCCACCCTGCAGTGATCTACAAGTGCTAGCTTGCCATCCTTTTTAAAGGTGCCTTGAATTCGTGAATTGCCCCGTGCCGTTTCCCCCAACCGTTTCCTCCCAACCCTCCGCCCCGTGCAGTGATCTACAAGTACGAGCGCGCCATCCCCCCTCAGGCCACGTTCCTGAAGGCAGTGACCACTGTGCTGCACGCCATCTACTCGTGCTTCTGCAACAACTATGTGGCCATCGGGTTCATTGTGAGTCGTGGTGGCTGGGACGGTTGGGTGGCTGGTTGCTGTGAGCCTTGACTGTGCTGCATTCCTTGTACTCATGCTTCTGCAACAACCACATCGCCATTGGGGACATTGTGAGTCGTGGTGGCTGGGACGGGTGGGTGGTTGGATGGTTGGGTGGTTGGACGGGTGGGTGGTTGGACGGGTGGGTGGTTGGACGGGTGGGTGGTTGGATGGTTGGGTGGTTGGATGGTTGGGTGGTTGGACGGGTGGGTGGTTGGACGGGTGGGTGGTTGGACGGGTGGGTGGTTGGACGGGTGGGTGGTTGGACGGGTGGGTGGTTGGACGGGTGGGTGGTTGGACGGGTGGATGGTTGGACGGGTGGGTGGTTGGACGGGTGGGTGGTTGGATGGCTGGGTGGCTGGACGGGTGGGTGCCCTGAAGCGTGAACGTGCTGCATGCCATGCACTCATGCTTCTGCAAGTAGAACTATGTGGGCATCCGGTTCATTGTGGGTCGTGGTGGCGGGGATGCATGCTGGGTGATTGCGAGTTGGTACCTCCCTCCCTTCCTCCCTCCCTCCCTCCCTACTACTCATCATCTGCACTCACAACCAACACACGCTTGATGCCTGTACTTCCCAGGCTCTCCCATGCTAAGCTGCTCCCATTGCTATCAAGCAGCTTACTGCCCCCGGAAATGAGCTCTTTCTGATTTCCCAGCCTGTATATCCTGAAACATTACCACTCTCTCCCCCTCGCTCCCCCCTACTCTCTCAGGTGCTGCCAACGCAGGAGACTATCACAGCGTGCAAGGGCCTGCTCTACCTGGGAAACATTGCGCCACTTGCCACCTCATTAACTTGCTCTTCCAAGCCGACTCAAAAGCACCTTATCTCCCTCTTACTCTCATGGCCACCAGGTGCTGACGGCGCAGGAGACCATCACGGCCTACAAGGGCCTGCTCTACCTCGGCAACATCGTGCCGCTCGCCATTGTCATCCTCGGTAACTTCCTGCCGTCGCCGCGACCCTCCCGCCGCGCCAAGACAGAGTGAAGAGTCCGAGGATATTCTCTCTTTGGTGTGGCCGGCTGTGGCCACAATTTTGGGGAAATGATACATTAGTATTTACAGCAGGGGTTTAGCTAGCCGGTTGGGTTCAGAGCAGAGTTGTGTTTGGTAGATGGGCAAGGAAACTTGAACCTGTCTCCCTATTGGCTGCTGCTCTGGCTGCCTCTTTGGCTTGGTAGCGCATGTTGTAGACAGCTGGCCGAAGGGCTGTACTGACCAAACACCAAACGTGTATTCGTCGTATAATTGGGAAATGGGGGGAATGTGAACAGATCTAGCATCAATAAAATGTACTATACAAAACAGAGTGCACAGCAGCGTCAAGAAGACCTCCAGGGTAACCACTTTTCCATTGTCTGACATCCAGCAAGTTTTCACCTCCACCCCAATCCACCCAATTCTCCAAGCTGCAGACACCCCCTCCAAGCACATGCCGAGCACTCATCACATCACACATCCTTCCAAGTAACCTTCAGGTACCCGTATCGGCTGTCCGATTCACTGATCCCAAGCGCACTCCACACGGCAGCAGAGGCGTCCACGTCATTCATGATGCAGGGCGGCTGGCCCGCATGCATCCTGTCGCACCCCGCCCTCGAGTCGCACTCGTCCACCACTGTCGCCAGCACGCTGCGGCCATTGGATGCGGAGATTTGGATCTGACGGCCGCAGCGCCTCCGGTTGGCAAACCAGCCAGTGGAGAGGGCGACCACCCTCTCGGTGTTGCGATGGTACTTGCCGTCGCAGGAGGAAGCGCCGCCACCGTCCTGGCCTGGAGGTTGGGTGGGGGGAGCGGAAGGGGGGGTTGGGGGGGGGGGGGGGGGAGAGTTGAGTAGTGGTGGAAACAGAGCAGCTAGTGGAAAGAGCAACTGCCTTTTCTGTGATGCGGTGGTGCTTTCCGTCGCAGGAGGACAGGCCACCACCGTCCTGGCCTGGAGGCTGGAAGGGAGAGAGGGGGTGGAGTGGAGGTGTAAAGGCGCCGGTGGTCAAGGAATGGTGGAATGAAAGGACCAAGGGGCGAGGGGCGAGGGTGCTGAATAGAGCAGTGGTGATTCATGAGAGGCTGAAAGAACAGAATGCCTTGTACAAAAGAATCACCCTCCCATAAAATCACCCTCTCAAAAAATCACCTTCTCATAAAATCACCCTCATAAAATCACCCTCTCATAAAATCACCCGCTCATAAAATCACCCTCTCATAAAATCACCCTCGCACAGAATCTTGCAGTGGAGCGGATTCGGAAAGCGAGGACTGGCAGGTGGGTGCTCACCAGCGTCGAATCCGTTGAGAGTCAGGATTGCTGACGTGGCGTTGCTGACACGAGGCGAGCACGTGTACTTGTGGTACTTGGCGAGTGGCTTGCAGCAGTCGGACCTGCGCATGGCACACAATCTGAACTTTAGGGATCTCGACAAGGCCAGACAGAGAAGATCACTACACAGAAGGAACCACGTACCGCACATGTCACATTAGAAAGCGTAGAGTCTTACATGTTATCCGAGTTGCAAGGGACAACTGCAGGAGCCCGGAAGCTTCCTGACGGCTTGCACGTGCCCCCTCCCCCCTGCTGCCTGCAGATGTGCGTCCCCACGCCGGGGTCGTCGCCGCACTTGCCGCTCATGCATGCCAGCCGCCCGCTGCAGTCCGCGTGGCGCCTGCAGCTCCCCCCGCATCCCTGCAGCGCGTCGACGCTTCTTATAAGGAGTACAGCTGATGCTAGCGCGAGGAGAACGGCGATAGAGGTGTGCTGGCGGGAAAGAATCGCCATAATTCTCGGTGGGAAGCGTGGAAGCGCGGGACGCAGTACGAGATGCAGAAAGGTAACTTACCCGGAAATCACCGTCAGGGAACGAAGCGGCGCGAGAAGCAAAGCGAGGTTCAACGTGCTTCTACATTGCACGGCACAAAGCATCTGGCTCTCTCGTATGTACTAGCAACACGAGTGGCAGCGTAACTCGGCCGACATGTCACTCATGCGTGCCGTACGCGGGACACACGGTAAAACAATGTCGGTTCAAGAAGTGATGGGCACCTGCGATGCGACACCATGGACTCATCCGAGGTATCTAAAATTGCCGTTGTCGGTTTGTCCGAAATCAAGGCACGTCTGTGTTTCTTGTTCGTGCGGTCAGAGCAGTGCAGCCCGGACCAGATTCGGCAATGTGGAAAGGGACCCCGGACTTGCCGTCCCGCTCAGGGAAAACCGCACTGATTTTGTGTTGTACAGCGAAGAAGATACAGAATGAGAAGTGCTATCATTACATGTATACCATACATTACATGTACTTCAGGCTATACGAGGTGATGGGACAGGTGGTTCCGGCAAGCCCACGGCTCGTTGTGGCGCGTCTAGGTCGTGCAAAACATAAATAGGGCTGGCTGAAAGTCGAGCGGAAAGTGCTTCAAGAAAATCCACTGCGAATGAAGCAAACTGCTCCTCGGATAAATGCTGGAGATGTGGAGCACGCTCTGTTATTATATCCAATATCCAATTATCAAGTGTTGTGTTCACTGCAAGGAACGGGACGGCAAGAAGCAAAATATGAAAGGAATGTATCGTGGTCATTTAGTGCATAGCAATTGGCAATTTTGACACAGGTTTGGGGTACAAGGAGATGTGGGAAGTTGCCACTAGGGCCGGAGCCAGCAACACCATGCCCCCAACCACTCTCAATTGCACTCACTCACCTCCTCGACACGGCAGCCCGGCAGACAGGCCAATAACGCGCAACGCAGGGGCGAGGCGGGCGGCCGGCATGCCGCCCCATCCCTTGTTGTCTAGCGCCTGGAAGGTGCTACGGATGGCAGCGCTGAGCCGAGAGGGGTGCTGCAGGAACGCCCTTATGAGCGTGCCGTCCAAGCAGCGCAGGAGCAGAGGCGTGTCTGATGTGCGTGAGGAGAGGATACGACGAATAGTTGTGGCAATGCAGATGATGCACAGACAGTGTGGCTCTTATGCGTGCATGGGTGCATGGGTGCATGAGTGCATGGGTGCATGGGTGCATGAGTGCATGGGTGCATGGGTGCATGAGTGCATGGGTGCATGGGTGCATGAGTGCATAGGTGCATGGGTGCATGGGTGCATGAGTGCATGGGTGCATGAGTGCATGAGTGCATGGGTGCATGAGTGCATGGGTGCATGGGTGCATGGGTGCATGAGTGCATGGGTGCATGGGTGCATGGGTGCATGAGTGCATGGGTGCATGGGTGCATGAGTGCATAGGTGCATGGGTGCACGAGTGCATGGGTGCATGGGTGCACGAGTGCATGGGTGCATGGGTGCATGAGTGCATGGGTGCATGAGTGCATGGGTGCATGGATGCATGGATGCATGGGTGCATGAGTGCATGGGTGCATGGGTGCATGAGTGCATGGATGCATGGATGCATGGATGCATGGGTGCATGAGTGCATGGGTGCATGGGTGCACGAGTGCATGGGTGCATGGGTGCATGAGTGCATGGGTGCATGAGTGCATGGGTGCATGGGTGCATGGGTGCATGAGTGCATGGGTGCATGGGTGCATGAGTGCATGGGTGCATGGGTGCATGAGTGTATGAGTGCTTGAGTGCATGGGTGCATGGGTGCATGAGTGCATGGATGCATGGATGCATGGGTGGATGAGTGCATGGGTGCATGGGTGCACGAGTGCATGGGTGCATGGGTGCATGAGTGCATGGGTGCATGAGTGCATGGGTGCATGAGTGCATGGGTGCATGGGTGCATGGGTGCATGAGTGCATGGGTGCATGGGTGCATGAGTGCATGGGTGCATGGGTGCATGAGTGCATAGGTGCATGGGTGCACGAGTGCATGGGTGCATGGGTGCACGAGTGCATGGGTGCATGGGTGCATGAGTGCATGGGTGCATGAGTGCATGGGTGCATGGATGCATGGATGCATGGGTGCATGAGTGCATGGGTGCATGGGTGCATGAGTGCATGGATGCATGGATGCATGGATGCATGGGTGCATGAGTGCATGGGTGCATGGGTGCACGAGTGCATGGGTGCACGGGTGCATGAGTGCATGGGTGCATGAGTGCATGGGTGCATGGGTGCATGGGTGCATGAGTGCACGGGTGCATGGGTGCATGGGTGCATGAGTGTATGAGTGCTTGAGTGCATGGGTGCATGGGTGCATGAGTGCATGGATGCATGGATGCATGGGTGCATGAGTGCATGGGTGCATGGGTGCACGAGTGCATGGGTGCATGGGTGCATGGGTGCATGAGTGCATGGGTGCATGGGTGCATGAGTGCATGGGTGCATGAGTGCATGGGTGCATGAGTGCATGGGTGCATGGGTGCATGAGTGCATAGGTGCATGGGTGCACGAGTGCATGGGTGCATGGGTGCATGAGTGCATGGGTGCATGGGTGCATGAGTGCATAGGTGCATGGGTGCACGAGTGCATGGGTGCATGGGTGCACGAGTGCATGGGTGCATGGGTGCATGAGTGCATGGGTGCATGAGTGCATGGGTGCATGGATGCATGGATGCATGGGGGCATGAGTGCATGGGTGCATGGGTGCATGAGTGCATGGATGCATGGATGCATGGATGCATGGGTGCATGAGTGCATGGGTGCATGGGTGCACGAGTGCATGGGTGCATGGGTGCATGAGTGCATGGGTGCATGAGTGCATGGGTGCATGGGTGCATGAGTGCACGGGTGCATGGGTGCATGAGTGCATGGGTGCATGGGTGCATGAGTGTATGAGTGCTTGAGTGCATGGGTGCATGGGTGCATGAGTGCATGGATGCATGGATGCATGGGTGCATGAGTGCATGGGTGCATGGGTGCACGAGTGCATGGGTGCATGGGTGCATGAGTGCATGAGTGCATGGGTGCATGGGTGCATGAGTGCATGGGTGCATGGATGCATGGATGCATGGGTGCATGAGTGCATGGGTGCATGGATGCATGGATGCATGGGTGCATGAGTGCATGGGTGCATGGGTGCATGAGTACATGGATGCATGGATGCATGGGTGCATGAGTGCATGGGTGCATGGGTGCATGAGTGCATGGGTGCATGGGTGCATGAGTGCATGGGTGCATGGTGCATGGGTGCATGAGTGCATGGGTGCATGGGTGCATGAGTGCATGGGTGCATGAGTGCATGGGTACGCATGGGTGCATGGATGCATGGGTGCATGAGTGCATGGGTGCATGAGTGCATGGGTGCATGGGTGCATGAGTGCATGGATGCATGGATGCATGGGTGCTTTGGTGCATGGGTGCATGAGTGCATGAGTGTATGAGTGCTTGAGTGCATGGGTGCATGGGTGCATGAGTGCATGAGTGCACGAGTGCATGGGTGGATGGGTGCATGAGTGCATGAGTGCACGAGTGCACGAGTGCATGGGTGCATGAGTGCATGAGTGTGTTGTGCAGGGAGTGCAGGAGGAGAGGGGTGTCTGGCCAGGTGGCACGAAGGGGGCGCAGGGAAAGATAGTGGGAGGAGGTGGGGTCCCGGACAGACATACAAGCTACTGGAGATGATGCGCAGACGTGTCCTGACGCGTATGATTCACCTGCCTGGGATTAAACCCCATCGCCTCTCTCTTCTACACCCATACCATACGCTGCTTGAAATGTTCTCACCTTGCAGCGTCTGTCCGACTTCCTTCAGAAGCCTCGTCATCGCAGCAACAAACTCCTCCCTATCCAACCCCTCCCCCTTCTTCTCCCTTACCTCCTCCTCCCCCTCACTCCCTCCCTTCGCCACCCGTTCCTCCTCCCCATCCCTCCCTCCCTGGTCCTCCCCCCGGCACCCCCCTCTCTCCCGCGCCACCATGGCATGCACCATCCTCTCCCAGTCCTCCGACACCCCCACCCCCGGCAGCCCCAGCGTCTGCAGCTGCTGCACCAGCTTCCGCTCCACTGCCGCCCATGTCACCACCGGCTTGTCTGTTGGGCGGCAAATTCCGTCCTTACCCACAGAACCTCCTGCACCATTTCCTTGTGCGTCTCCGCACGTGACCTCCTTGCTCTCCTCATCGCCAATCCCGTTACTCCGCCCTTCCTCCCCCTCTCCCTTTACCCTACCGCCTTCCCAACTCTCCCCTTTCTCTCTCCCCCCACTAGGACTGTACAGTGTAAGTCCGTCCGTGTCAATCCCCTCCGCCTCTCCACTCCTTGATCCTGACACCCGCACCTGCTTCGCTCCCCCCTCACCCCCCCCTCCTCCGCCCGCTCCACCTCCACTATCAGATGTGCTTATAACGATTTCGTCAAAGGCACTGTTCAGCCACACGTCCAGACAAGCCCCGCCATCCGCTCGGACCATCTTGCGCACGCGCCGCCCGTCAAAGAGCTTGAAGCCAGTGAGGGTCGGCAGATCCGCCACTGTAGCAGCCGGGTCTGTTAAACCCGCCCTGCTGCCACTGCTGGTGCTGAGGGCAGCAGCGCTGCTGTCGGCACACCTTCCCCAGGGGAGGGCAGAAGAGAAGGAGAGAGTCGGGAGTGAGAAGGAGAACGGGCGGAAGAAGGAGGAGGTGGCGGAGGAGGAAGGCGCAGAGGAGGCGGAGCGATCGGGGCGTAACAACGACACTGGCGGTGGCGACGCCACGGGCGGCAGCATCTGTGGTGGGAGGCCTGTCTTCTGCAGCTGCAGGGCAGCCCCCAGGAAGGTGGACTGCATGAGCGATCTGAACTCCTCCTTGTCCACGAACCCGCTGGTGTCGCAGTCCGCCGTGAGGAAGAGCGAGAGGTAGATGCGGTCCGCCTCGTCCCGGCTGCCCACCGCTGGCAGCCCGTAGGCCACTCCCAGAGCGTGAAAGCCGTCAACGACTTCGGCGCGAGACAGCATGCCACGGTCCGTGGAGTCCCAGGAGAGAAACATGAGGTCTGTTAAGCGATGGAAGAAGGCTTCGTCTGAGAGGATCTGTGAAGGGGGGAGAAAAACAGAGGGGAGAGAGATTGGTGGGTGAGCGGAGAGAAGACAGCATGCCGCGGTCCGTGGTGTCCCAGCAGAGAAAAATCAGGCCTGTGAGGCGGTGGAAAAAGGCCTCGTCTGAGAGGATCTGATGGGGATAGAGGGCGAGAAAGTGCACGTTCAGACTCTAAAGGAAGTCGGATGCTCACACAAGCCATCGCCCAGACTGCACCTTGACTAGGTAGGGTCCGTTGAGGATGGTCATTGGCCCCGTTCGCTGGAAGGTATAAGGGCTCGGCCCATTGGCCACGGTGAAGAGGATGTCCTCCGCGAGCCACAAGCACAAACATGCCGTGCACACACAGGACCCACCTTGACTTTTGAGTCGACTCAAGCTGACTTTTGAGTCGACTCCAAAGTCACACACAGGCCGTGCACACACAGGACCCACCTTGACTAGGAACGGGCCGTTGAGGATGGTCATGTTGGCGGGCAGGTACAGGGGCTCGTCCTCCAGCCCCTTGGCCACGGTGAAGAGAATGTCGGCCACGAGCCACATGAACTGCACCTTCGACAGACCCTGGGTGAAATCCACCGCCGCATCAACTCCCAGCTGACCGTTCTCACTGCCACCTGAGCCCATCGCCCCTCCTTCCTCCCCATCTGCCTCACTTTCTGCCCCCTCCTCCCCGCCTCCCCCCCCGTCTCCCCCTCCCCATCCCGCGTATGTATGCAGCAGCTCCGCCAGGATCTCATCCTCCTGCTCTGGCGCGGGGGAAAGAGGGGGGGGGGGGAAGAGGGGGGGGGGGGAAGAGGGGGGGGGGAAGAGGGGGGCACGGGGGAGCGGGCAGCGGGCAGAGGGGGGCAGGGTGAGGGGTGAGGGGAGAGTGAGACTAGTGGCTCCATGCGAAAACACATACACACGTTCCCCCCGCTGGAGACAGGTGGCGATTCAGAGAAGAGCCCTAACTCTGGCAACATGGGCCTGATGTCCTCCATGGTGACTCGTGCTGTCGCCATCCGCACCACCACTCACTACATCAGCGCAGACACGCACAGGCGCCAACTCCCCACGTGCACGCACACACACACACCCACCTCTGGAGATGGGCAGCGGCTCAGGGAAGAGCCCTAAGGCGGGCAGCATAGAGCGGATCTCCTCCATGGTGACCGTTCCGCCGCCATCTGCATCACCACTCACTCCACGGATGCATGCACGCACAGGCGCGCATTCCAACGACTGGCCCACCTCTGGGAATAGGTAATGGCTCAGGGAAGAGCCCCAGCGCCGGCAGCATGGGTCTAATCTCCTCCATGGTGACGGTGCCGTCGCCATCCGCGTCCATGTCCGTCCACAGCGCGTCGATGAACGCGTCCACCTCGCCTGCATCCCGAAACAGCTCTCTCAGCGTGCTGCTCTCGTTCAGCAGCCTGGGCAGAGGGTCCTCTGGAATGGGCGTGTGTGGCAAAAGGGGGTGGAGGGTCTCTGAACGCGTCTATGTCCGTCCACAGCGCGTCTATGAACGCGTCCACCTCGCCCGCATCCCGAAACAGTTCTCTCAATGTGCTGCTCTCCTGCAGCAGCCGGGCTAGCGGATCCTCTGGGCCGAGGGGAAGGGAGCAGGGGACTCGACAAGGGGCAGAGCATTGGCATTTGGCTCAGTCAAGGGGGGCAGAGACGTATCCCCACACTCGCGCATTCCCTGCGTTCTGTTGAGAACGTGAGCGAGGGAATGTGGAGACGAGACGAGATGCGATGAGAAACGCACCTTCGACCGAATCTTGAGATGCAAGAATCAAATCTCTGCAGACGGTGACAAACTTGTGCCGCCCAATCTCGCTGCTGAGGTCAGCGGACATGAAAGAAACAAATAGCCCCTTGGCCAAATCATCATCTTTCTCCCCCTTCCCCTCGCCCAGGAACCTCCCGCTCCCTCCCCCTCCCGCTCCTCCTCTTCCTCCCCCCCAATCCCCACTGCCACCCAAGCTTCCGCTTCCCCACCCACTCCCCCCTCCGCTCCCCCCTCCGCTCCCCCCTCCGCTTCCCTCCCCCCCTCTCCCTCCATTTCCGCCTCTCCGCCGATGCCCTGCGCCCCGTCCGCCGCTGCCCCCTCCGCCTCCGCCCATTCGGCTGTCCCAGAAGGGGCGGAGAATGAGCCCCTGAATCTCCGCCAGGCGCAGCAGCGCCGGCTTGAGCTCGGCCAATGAGAGCCTGCCACGTGCATCCACGTCGAGGCGGTCGAACTCGCCAGAGAGGAACGCCTCGAGCTTAACGGGGTCACCCATAACGCGGCGAATCTTCCTTCCCGCCAGAATCTCGAACCACGGTCGGCGTGAGGGCCCGCCAGAGTCAATGCTGCTGCTGCTGCAGTGAAGCGAGGGGAGGTCGAGCTTCGTCGGCATTGCCTCGTCGAGTCGGTATTCCCAAGGTTGCAAGGTTACGACTCTTCGGTACGAAAAAAAGGCTGTGCTATGTTTGATGGGTCCGACCCATCTGACGGGTCGTCTGAGATGCACACCTGATTGGAGGATTGCCACGAATAATGTGAACAAGCGTGCGAGAATGTCGCAGAAGAGTTGTGCGCGACGGAACGGAGCGCGACGGTAACAGAATGCGACGGAAACGGAATTCGAAGGAGTCAGACACAGTTCGACGCCAGGTGATACTATGAAGATGACTGCAAGAGCCGATATTCTAAGAATGCGGTAACAAAAACAAAAAACTCTTTTGGCAACTGGTTGCTTGGCTTCACGGACCAGACACACCAAGCAAGCGACACTGACACACTAGCCTAGAGGAGCTTCTCGGACAGGCAGGAGCATCAGTGAAATCCCAAGGTGGTTAGCTTGTCGCCAGGCTTGGCGCGCAGCGAATTTGGGGAGAGGGATGGGTGTGTGTGTGTGTGTCAGTGCGACTGTGCGCGAAAGGGTGACTGACAGGAGCGTGGTGGGGTGAGGTGGGGGGAAGGCGAGACGTGGTGCGGGTCGTCATTCGGCGGAGTGAGGTGGCGCGTGGGCTGAAAATGATAATTTGTACAGTCGCGTGGGAATAACGACATATCATCATATCGTATATGGTAATTGGTCAACAAATAAGCCAAAGACAATTGAAATAGCAAAAATAATGCCAGCAAACACCAGCAACATACAATGAATCTAGATCCAACCCAGAAAAGTCACAAACACCTCAAACTCCCTTTCGAAGGCGAGCGATCACCCGAGGGCCTAAGGGCCCGGCTCGTAATTTACCAATGGAGGCGGTACTAACTGGCACTCCACCTTTGGAAGAGGGTACCGTGATTGTCCTGCTGGAACTATCACCCGTGCCAGAAGGGGATGCTGCAACTGCAACGGCTGACAGCAAATGGCTCGGCGGCGCATCTCCTGGGGAGTGCCTTGCCTCAAACGAGGCTGGTACTGCTGGCAGTGCATCAGCTTGTATTAACAAGGGGCGTGCATAGACTGTAGAAACACTTGCTCCTGACGGCGTCAGTGATGTGCCTGGTGTGGCTGATGTGGCACTTGAAGCTGACATGGCAGGTGATGAAGCAGCAAGATCCAGCTCATGAGCCCCGACCACTCGGCCCACCGAGCGGATGTGCAGCAGCAGGCGACGGAGGAAAGGGTTGTGGCCCACCGTTGCTGAGTCAGCAATGACTGCCACATGGCGCCTGCCACGTGTCACCGCTACATTCATTCGCCTATGGTCCCCAAGGAAACCCACTGAGCCATATGAGTTGGAGCGGACCTGCAATGATCAAAGGGAGAGGAGACGGGAGATGCGGGAGGAGGAAAGGTGTGTGGGAGGAGAAATCAGTGTGCGGGGACAAGAGAACAAGGTGTGTGGTCTGGAAGCAAGAGGCAGCTAGAATTAAATTCCCCCCAGCAGTCACATCCGATACATCTGAACAGTGATTTAGATATGTGACATGTTAGGTCTCACCTTGACCCATGACTTGCCAGGGGGGATGATGACTCACCATGGGGATGATGGCTCACCATGGGGATGATGACTCACCATGGGGATGATGGCTCACCATGGGGATGATGACTCACCATGGGGATGATGACTCACCATGGGGGTGAGGACTCACCATGGGGATGATGACCCACCATGGGGATGATGACTCACCATGGGGATGATGACTCACCAGGGGGGTGATGGCTCACCATGGGGGTGATGGCTCACCATGGGGATGATGGCTCACCATGGGGATGATGGCTCACCATGGGGATGATGGCTCACCATGGGGATGATGGCTCACCATGGGGATGATGGCTCACCATGGGGATGATGGCTCACCATGGGGATGATGGCTCACCATGGGGATGATGGCTCACCATGGGGATGATGGTTCACCATGGGGATGATGGCTCACCATGGGGATGATGGCTCACCATGGGGATGATGGCTCACCATGGGGATGATGGCTCACCATGGGGATGATGGCTCACCATGAGGATGATGGCTCACCATGGAGATGATGACAGCATCCGCCTCCCTCCCCTGGAAGCTATCCACACTCGCCACCTCAATCGCCGCCACGTCCCACCCCTCCTCGCCAGAATGCGGCCAAACCTCGCCGCCCAGCCGGTCCTCCAGCCGCTGGCGGATGAGCTGCACCTGTGCGAGGTACGGTGACTGCACGGCTATGGACCCGGGCGGCACGCCGGCAGTAAGCAGCAGGGCCACATGGTCTACCACCAGGTCCGCCTCGCCCTCATTCACCAGGGAGCCCGTGCCTGAGGCGTCGGGCGCCTCCTGGCAGTGCGCGTGCAGCAGGCCGCGGGGGGAGCGAGTGTCGATGAGGAGCATGGGTTGGGCCAGGAGAGCGGGGAGGGAGGAGGGGGAGGAGGTGGTGGTGATGTCAGCTAGTGTGCGATTGGCGACAGCAGGCGCGGGAATGAGGTGGCCGTTGTACATCTCAGCAGAGCTCCAGTCGGAGATGGCCCGGTGCATGCGGTACTGCACTCGCAGCATGGCCAGGCTGCCACCATAGCTGCCACCATAGCTGCCACTCATCGGTTCCCAAATCGCTGCCCCTCCCATCACCGTTCCTGCCACTCCATCTGTCCCCAACACCTCCCCTCCATGTCCCATTCTGTCTAGATTCCCCCCTCCCACTATCCTCTCCACGTCTCCTCCCCCCCCTACTCTCCCCAGCAGCCCCTCCTTCTCAATGCGCTCCATCAGCGACACCCCCAGCCCGCGCTGCTGCGCCTCCACAGACTGCACCGTGGGCGCCAGCTGCCAGGGGTCCCCGGCCACCACCGCTCGCCGCCCCAGCAGCAGCGGGATCCAGCTGGACGGCTCCGTGGCCTGCCCCGCCTCGTCCAGCACCACCAGGTCGAAACCCCCCTCCTCCCTTGCTACCTTCTGAACGATCTTCTCCCCTGTGCCGGTCGTGGTGCAGAGGATAACCTCGGCATCCCCTATCACGTTCTCCACTTCGTCCTTCTCCCGCTGCTTCTCCATCCGTGCCAGCCGCCTCAGCATCTTCTGGAGTGCTGAGCGCAGCGCTGGGTCGCCGCCCACGGCGCGGAGATCAGAGCGCAGGTCACGCCGGCGGCGGGCGACGTCGCGGAGGAAGGGGGCGAGGCGGGCGGCGACGAGGTGGTCGAGAGAGAAGGGGGTCACAGCGGGGGAGAGGCGCACGGGGTTGCCCACACGCACGACTCTGAGACCCTTGAAGGCCAGGCGCTCTACAAGCACGTCTACTGCTGCGTTGGTGGGGGCTGAAACCAGCACCCGGTGCTTCCTTGTGCGCTGCTTCGCGCCCGCAGCATCGCCCATCACCTCCCCCGTGTCTTCTACCCTGCTGCCTTCCGGCTCTTCCTCTTTCCTCTCCGCTCGGCGCCCCTCCCTGACCGCCCGGGCTATGATCTCTGTGACGACCGACGTCTTGCCCGTGCCTGGCGGGCCCTGGATGGCCACCACGGGCTGGGAGGGGTCCAGGGCGAGGCGAATAGCCGTGAGCTGACTGGCATCGAAGGGCAGGGGGGACGGGGGAAGAGGGGAGGCGGGCGAGGGGGATGGTGACGCGGTGTCGACAGCACTCTCAGCTGCTGCTGTTGGTGCTTGGGGTGGCGCCGCCGGTGTTGGTGATGATGTTGCTGTTCCTGCTACTAATGGTGGTGCTGCTGCTGGTGCTAGCGCTGCTGGTGCTAACGCTGCTTCTGCTGTGGGAGCAGCACGGGGAGCAGCAAAGAGGGCGGCAGCGACAGCTCGAGAAGGGCTCTTGGGCTTGAGAGCGGTCGCCCTCAGCCGCTCCAGTGCCTCGCGATTGCGCTGACAGGGGGGGAGAGGGGGGGCAGTGGGATAGGAAGGGGGGGGGAGTGAGGATAGGAGTGGCAGAAACGAGAAGGAGAGGGTGGAAGGTGGGCATGGAGTGAGTGATGCATGAGAGAGCACAGGCACCACGGATCAAAAGTCTCACAGATATCCTTCAAGGCACGGAAAAGTAATCTCGGATTTGGTGATGTGCACGAGTCTCACCTCGTACGTGGTGAGGTCCACAAGACCGGACAGCCGCTGCACCCTCAGCGCCACGCCAAAAAGCTCCTGCAAATATAGTGGCGACGATACCCCATGGCTGCTGCTGCTGCTGCTGCTGCCGCCACCACTCTCCCCCTCACTCTTCGAGTCGTGTAAGCTCCTGGCATTCCTGCTGCTGCTGCTGCTGCCGCTACCTACGCCAAGCTTCCCGTCCAGCGCAACCACCAGGCTCTGCCCGTCCTCCCCCAAACCATGCACGTAGCCTCGGTAACACACCGCGGCAGTTGCTGCAGCAGATGCGTTGACTGTAGCACTCACTGCAGCGTTTCCTGCACTACCCGCGTTCCCGCTGCCGATGCGGCTGCACTTGGACCAATCAAAGGAAAGACAGATGGCATCCCCAGGGGAGAGCGTCGAGGCGGATAGGAGGCCAGCATTGGGAGAAGCGAGGGTGATGAGATGCACACCCGATAGCCCAATGGACGTGCCCACAGCAACTAAGTCAGTCAGCGTGCCACCCTCTCTAGCCAACCCTCTCTCCACCTCCCCTCTTTCCTTCCGCCCCCTCCTCTCTCTTGCTCCCTCACTCCCTCCTTCCGCCTCATTCCGTGGACCCAGTCGATCGGACAGGGGTGGCTGAGCGCCAACCACGTCAGCAGCCACGGCGTCCAGGTCAGCGTCTCGCTCCAATTGGAGAAGCTCGGCAGCGGTTGCCACGTAGGCGGTGATTCGCTGCTGGGCGGCTTGCAGTGCGGAGGGGGAGAGGAGGGCGGCCAAGTTTGTCTGGCGCCTCTGCTGCTGCAGCTGCTGGGCGGCCAGGGCATTAGATGAGGGGGAAGAGGCGAGTGCGCCATTTGCGGCGAGAGTGTTGGCTGGTTGACGGATGATGGCGCGATGGTCGCCTGATCGCATGAGCTGCTTCAGAAGGTTCCACGAAGGACTCTCGTTCCATGCATTCATTGCATGGGCACTACTAGCAGCAGCACCAGAGGCACCAGCAGCACCAGCAGCACCAGCAGCACCAGCAGCACCAGCAGCAGCAGCAGCAGAGGCAGCAACCTCTTCGTTCCCCTCCTTACCCACCCCCTCTGCATGGCGCTTCTTGAGCTCTGTCTGTAGCTCGCGCTGGAGGTGGTCCAGCACCGTGGGGTAGTGACTCATCCCCACGTGGCAGCGCTGCTGCTCGCCATCTGGCATTGGCTCCCTGCAAGGAAACACAGCAGACAAGAGGGAGAAGAAGATTGGGGAGCTTGAGATTTTTTTAACAAATGCCTCACTGCATCAATGACGTGTGACACACTGCAGAAAAAGAAAAGGAGAGGTCACATTTGTTAAGAATGACCCATTCGTTTTAGCCACATGGCTCACCTCAGCAGGTAATCCTGCGCCAGCGCCAACACCGCCATGCTTCCGCCAGCAGCCACCCCCTCCAGCCCCTTCTCTCCGTGCATCTCCCGCTCCGCCACGTCCTGCGCCATCCGCGCAACCCCGCGCGCCATCCACTGCGCCACCGCGCGTCCCAGTACCCTCTTGCCGTACGGATCACCCGCGTTCTGCGGCGCCTTCCCCGCTCCGGCCACGTCAGGTGCACCAGCTGCACCTGGACGACTAACATCGACGTTGGATTCCGAGGATGAGCGTCCTCCCGTCAGGCCCGCCTTCCACGCGGAGTCGGAGCCAAGGAGCGACGCTAGCTGGGCATCGGAGCTGCTGGCACGCAATTCGGGCCGGTGCTCCTGTCCGTGCTCCTGACCGTGCTCATTCTCCCGCTCGCGTCCCTCCTCGCGACCCTGTTCCTTCCCCCGTTCGTTCGCCGGAGCAGCTGGCAGCGACGCCAGCGCCGCCAGGAACGCCTTATCCGAGGACCTGGAGACGGTCGACTCTCCGCCTTCCCCGCTGCCGGCTCGTTCAATCGGAGTCGCCTCGTCGCCGGTTCTCCTCCGCCCCTTCCGCCTGTTCCTCTTCGCACCTCGGTTCTTTCCGCTTTCAGCTGTGGACGGTGAGGTCGGAGGCGGAGATGGGATCAAGGCCTCGTAGGAAGTCTCCGAGCTACCAGAGCGGAAAGGAGCGGTCGCCGCGCGAATGTCACTGCCGTTCGTATAACGGAGCGGCTTGGAACGGAGCCTGCTGTGGCCGGCGGAGAGTCGAGAGGAGCGGAGGCATCTTGCGGCCGAGGTGAGAGAGAGTGACCCGGCATCAGGTCGAATGTTGAGGCGAGACGAAGAGGAGAGCCTGATTGCATCCGACGTGGCGGTTCTGGCGCCACGAGAGGTAATGGGAATGTCGGATAGCGCGAAAGCCATGCCACCAACTGTGAGTTAAATCCGTTCCGCCACGAGTAGCTTCCCTCGATATAGTCGTGGCTTCTGAATTCCCCACAGGCTGCTTGAGCTCCTTGCGGTCGTATTGCTGACTTTAGTGTCCACAGGAGTAACACCTCTGACACGCAGCCGGCCTCAACCAGCCTGATTCCGCCACGGAGGAAGTCGAAGTTCTAGGAAGTCACAGCTCTGAGAATGGAGAAGTTTGAAGCGGGAGGAGAACATGGAGTCAACAGCACTGAATGAAACAATGGAGATGAATGAGAAATGACTCAGCGGAATGTGAGAAGTCTTCCTGTAATGGAGTGGAGTGAATGTGAAGGGAAACGATCAAGCAGCAGTACCTCCTCGAATCTGCCGAACTGAGACTTCTAGGGGAGGGCAGGCGACGTCTGTGATTATGTGGCTCATACCAATCAGCAGACAGGTAAACCCGAGGTGCGACTTACTGAGTGGCGCACAAACGAGGATGAGGGAGGGCTGTAACCAATCGCAGGGAAAAAGCCATCTTCACTCGCTGCGAAACGGCAGCATTGGCACGTGGGACGATGAAGGAAGATGGGGCCAGCGAAGCGATGACGTGGTCACGAAAGAGACCGCGAACAGGAGGTAGTTACGAAGGGCCTCGCGAAACCGCACCTACCCGTCGCGGATGAGAAAGCTGGCTCGCGAGGTTGGCACAGCGAACGCGTGGGCCAATCAGCAAAATGATATCTTCCGTGTAGAGCTCAATAAGTCGAGCTACAGCATTCCAATGTGCATCTCCTCTAAAACTGCATCACAACAAAACCATGGTTAACATGGCAATGTCAATAAATGAAGTGGGTTGAGTGCTGATAACCAAGCAATCAGTTTGGTTGCATCTATTTCAAGTCAAGCAACGTTAATTCTGCTCAAAAGTTGCGATTAGAAATCAGATGCATTCCTTAGGGTGCTCCTGCTCCACCATCACAAAGTCCACCATCGCCATCCTCCTCTTCCTCGTCATCTTCTTCCGTTTCCTCATCCCTCGCCATCCCTGACGCACCTCCCCCTCCACCAGTTTGCCTCACAAACTGCCCTTTCACTCTCGGCCTCATTTCTGCGAGCCGCTTCCGGCTCACATACCGAATCTTCTTTTCAAAGCACCTATCCTTGCGCTTCTGCCTGAACTTGCACAGCGCTGCCTCCCGCCTGTCATACATCTCCACTCGCCTCTCCATCTGCCCTCCCCCTCCCCCTGGACCAATCCCACCTCCCATATTTCCCCCACCCGCTTCTCCTCCTCCACACCCTCCTCCTATACCAGCTCCTGATGCAGCTGCTGCTGCAGCAGCAGCTGCCGCTGCAGCCATTGACGCTGCAGAGAAATGCAATCCCCCCCCCTGCCCCGGCCAGGGGTAGCCTGTTGCCCCGGCATCCCCCCCTCCACTCCCTGGCAGCAAGGAAACGCCCGCAGCCATGTCAGGAAGGTGCCCTGGCTGCGTGGCCAGGTGAAGACCCCCAGGCGCACCAAGGGGGACTTGTGGGGGAGAGAGGGAGGAGAATATGGAAAATGGGTTGTGAGGGGGGATGGGCATGGCTTGGATCGAGGCAGCTGCTGTGGAGGCTGGGGGTAAGGGTCCTGCGTTGGTGGTCCCTAGTAGGTCGTTTGAGAACATGGAATGACTTGACGCAGGAGTGGGAGGAGGAAGGGTGGAAAGGCCTGTTGACATGTGCAGGCTTGCAGTAGCAGCAGCAGCTGCAGCAGCTGCTGCTGCCGCTTCTGGAGACAGGTGAGGGAAGGCAGCAGCAGCTGCTGCAGCCGCGGCAAAGAACGGGTGGGTGTGATGCTGCGGGTGGTTAAAGAGGGGGCCCTGCGCCAGGTGATTACCCAGGTGGGCTCCAGGTGAGGGCGGGACGGCTGCTGATGGCATGGCAGCTGCAGCAGCAGCGGCGGCGACAAGGGACTGAGTGAGGGGGTGCTGGGGGGGAAGGCCTGAGGCTGCTGCTGCTGCAGCAGCAGCGGCTGCTATGTGTGGCGGCAGGTGCTGGAATGGCGATGGCATGTGCTGGCTCTGCTGCTGAGCTGGCATGTGAGTAGCGAGAGCAGGAAGCGTGGGTGGGAATGGGATAAGGGACGAGGGGGGGCGGTCCAACGGAGGGTTCAGGGAGTCAGGGGGGGGCTGTAGGTCCTGTGACAGACTGTGAGGCGGGTGGAAGTTGAGGAATTGCAAAGGGTGGGGGAAGGAGTGGGGAGGGAACGGATGAGGAGTGACAGGCTGGTTAGAAACAAGCCCAGCGAAGGGGTGGGAGGAGGAGGGCGCTGCAGTGGCAGCAGCTGTGGCAGCAGCTGCAGCCGCCATTGCAGCGGCTGCTGCGGCCGCTGCTGCAGTAAACCCATCAACGCCAGGCGTGGCGCCAGTGGGGGCGGTTGCTCCAAAGACCGTGGTGCTGTCCCAAGCAGGGCACGTGCCCCGGGATGGGACAGCACTGGATGGCCCCTGCCCTGCGCCACCCCACCAATTGGAAGACCCCAGGTGCCCGCCTGTCATGCTGCTGCCTGCACCGGCCAAGCTAGCTGCATGTGCAGGTATGTGGTTGTACGCAGCATGGTCTACAAGGCTGCTGCTACCACAGCCATTGCCTCGCGTGTTCATATGGTCCTGTGCCTGCAGCGCCTCCAGCTGCTGAGTTACCTCGCCTCGACCCATAGCCGCTGAAACTACTCCCCCTCTATTCCCGGTCCTGCTTCCCCCGCTGCCCGTCCCACCAGCAGAAGCGCCTCCCCCGGATGCTCCTGTAGGGGAGCCGTCCTTTCCCCGGGCAGTGCCAGATGCTCTGGCGGACTCAGATGCTGATGCTGGCGTAGGTGGTTTGTGCAGTGCGATAGAAGGAGGAGGCTCTGCTACTGCTGCTGCTGCCGCTGCAGCTGTTGATAGTATTGCGGGGGGGCCTATTGCTGCTGCTGTGGGCGCTAATGCGGCTGCCTGGCCCACCTCCCCCTCCCTGTCTGTCTCTCCCGATCCCTCCACCTGCCCCCTCACCTTCTTTCCCGCCCTGTGCCCTACCTCTGCCTCACCCTCTCGTTCGGCCCCAGCATCCTTCTCTGCCCCGCCCGCTCTCTCTTCTCCCCGTTTCCCCCCTCCTGGACCATAACCCACATCGTGCCTGTGGCTTGCTGAAGTGCGCCACGGTGCATCTGGTGAAGAGAGCAGGGCACTGAAGAGCCCTTGCTTGAAGAGGGCCCCTTGTGTGCCAGCAGCCGCATCTAGGCCACTAGCACCAACACTAGCGGCACCTTCAGCACCGTTCCCTGTCACTGCACCTCCGCCAACTCGAGGGACCTCTCGAACAAGAGCATGAGCACCAGTGCCAGTGGCAGTGCCAGCAGCGGCCGCAGGAGCAGAAGCAGCAGGCGTCGGGGCAAGAAGCGCAGGGTCAAGGAGGAAAGCTCTTGCGCCGGTGGGCCGAAGCCAAGGTAGGCTAGGTTCAGAGGGGATAGCAGGCAGGGGACAGGTGGTGAGCTGCGACAAGGGCTTGTCTGGATTTGAGCCCGTGTCACGAGCTGTCATGTGCAAGGGATTGGGATGCATGAGAGAAGCACTGAGGCCAACGCCTCTGGGAAGTGCGCCTCCTACCGCCGTGGGTGGTGGTAACGCAGCGGTTGGTGCTGTAGCGCGGGCAAGAGTGCTGGCAGGTACCAGTGCTGGCAGAAGTGACCTAGCACCCCCTGCTGCTGTGCAACCTGTTGCTGCTGCTGCTGCTGCTGCTGCTGCTGCTGCTGCTGCTGTTGCTGGCCCAGTTCCTGGAACAACAGCGCCCGGGCAAATGGGGGTGGAAGCGAGCAGTAACGTGCTGATTGGGGGTGCCGATGGGAGTGCTGGAGCAGTGAGCAGCGGAGAGCGGCCGTGCAGGGAAGCGTTGAACGGCAGGGAGGCGGCGAGCATTGCGGCGCTAATTGCAGGAGGCGAAGGAGGAGGAGGAGGAGGAGGAAAGGGGGGAGGGAGCAGTCGGTGAGTGAGAGGAGGCATGAGAGAGAGCTCGAGCTGCGGGGATGGCTGCAGGGACAAGGCAAGGAAGGCAGGGACAAAGAAAGGAGCACAACGAGAGTGGTGTGCGGGTGTGAAAAACTGGGCCACGGTGGAGCGTTTCGCACATGGGTAATGGGGCAATGGGGCAATGACAACAGTAGGCGGATATGGCAATGCATATGACAGGCAGAGGTGGGCAGAGGAAAACGACAGGCAGAAAGGAAGATAGGTGAAGGTAGGCAGCACCTATGAGGAGCAGAGGGGCGAAACAATGCGCATGATGTGAGGCGCGGCACCACACAGAGTCACGTTCACTGGAGACTCACCTGTCGAGCCCTGGTATCCAAATCACAGCCTTCTATCCCCTTACTCTGGTCGTCCATTCCTCCCTCCGTGTCGTGCTCGCCAAATGCACCACCACCAGCAGCACCAGCAGCACCAGCAGCACGAGCAGCAGCAGCAGCAGCAGCCGCAGCAGCAGCACCGTCACCACCAGCACCAGTGTCCTCACTCATTGCCTGTCCTCCTTCCATCCGGTCCCCCACCCCCTCGCCACACCCCAGCTGCTGCTGCTCTCTCGGTCCCCTCTCCCTCGTCACATCTTCGTGCTCCTCTCTCCGTGCCTTGCCTGGTTGCTCCATTCCACCGCATCCAACCGCATCATTCATCCGCAAGCGTTTGGACGCCGTCACCTCGCATGCTCCTCTCCTCTTGGCGCAATCCGCCGCTGCACTCCCTACCACGTCGCCCCTCCTCTTGCCTCCTCCCACAACATCACCCTTCCTTTCCCTGCCTTTCTCCTTCCCTCCTCTGCTTTCCCCCCCTTGATGCATCTCTATTTGCATACCTTGCCCTCCCCGCCCTTTAACGTCGCCCTGCATCGCCGGACTTGCCAGTTGGCGGGAGATTTGCACTGGAGGAGCGTTGACACTGGCGCCAATGGCTTCTTTGCCCTTGTGCGCCTTAGGTGCCCGAATCTGCTCGGCATTTCTTTCCTGCTCTGGCTTTTGCTCCTGTCTCTGCTCGTGCTGCTGCTGCTGCCGCCGCTGCTGCTGCTGTTGTTGCTGCTTCCCGTGCCCTTGCTGCTGCTGCTGCTGCTTCTGGTCCTCCTGCTGCCTCTGCAACAGGCGCTCCTGCTGTCTGTGCTCCTGCAGCAGCACCTGCTCCTGCTCCTGCCTCCACTGCTCCACATCCACCTCCTGCCGCACCTGCCGCCACTGCTGCACCAGCTGCTGTTGCTGCTGCTGCTGCTCCAGCTCCTGCAGTTGCTGCTGCTGCTCCTGCTGCTCCTGCAGCTGCAGCTGCAGCTGCTGGTGCTGCTGCTGCTGCGTGCTGCTCCGGCGCATCTCGTCGGTCTCATCGGAGAACAGGTCCGTGCTGCCGGTGCCGGTGTTGGACTCGCTGGTGTCGATGAACACAAAGTCGTGCGGCAGCTCGTTCATGCTCACAGGCACCAGGTTCTGCGGCCGCTCCGTTAGGCCGAACTGCGACAAGCAACACGCAACAAGCAACAAGCGCACAGGGACGATGTGCAGGTGAAAGCGTGCCGTTCAGTGCGACAGGAACGCGGCAATAATGCGATCGAAACTCGACCGTTAGTGAGGGCGAATGAGCCCCTTGTGTTGCATTGCATGTGAGAAGCACAAGGCACTTTCTTCACGCTCACCTTGCAAGACGCCTGGTGGGCACAGCAAGCACGGCAGGAGCATCGCCGACAGCATGCAAACACAGCAAAAACGGGAAACGCGTTAAAGTGAAGACATGCGAGCTACGCCACAGCAAACCATCGATAATGTTATAGTAAATGAATAACTTGAACGCGACGCAGAAACAAGAGAGGAAAAAGAGATACGAGTAACGATGCAGTACGAAACAACAAGCGCGCGAAGGCAGCCAGGTAAAGAGGCTCACCGATCGGCGGCGGCGCCACATGTGCGTCCAAAGATTCAAGAGCTCGTTGGTCCGCAGCGGCTTCACGAGGAAATCCGCCGCGCCGAGACGCAGGCAGCGCACCACAATGGCCATCTCGTCGCGTGCTGACATCACTGATGACGTTGGCGGGAATCAAAGGGAACACGGGTTGAACAAACAAACGGCACAGCAAGAGGACGCAGAACGCGGAGATACGAGAGAACACGCGTGAAGACAACGACGACCCCCGCAACATGAAAATCCGGAAACTCATCGACATAATAAGTTGGACAGAAGCAATCACTCCGTGTAACTGAACACACCCAAGCACTTACTGACTATCGGTATTTTCCGCAGCCGCTCCTCGCGCGCGATGAGCTTGAGCATCTTCATGCCCTTGCCGTTGGGCAGCTCGACCTCCGCCAGAATGAGGTCGATCGCCGCCGTGCCCGACCGCAGCAGCTGCAGCGCCGCTCGAGCATTCTCCACCGCCGTCACTGCAGGAAAATCAACAGGAGTGGAATGCTGAATTGTCTCAAAACACATTTGTCGCAGCCGCCACTGCAGGAATGTCGGCAGGAGGAGTGATGGGGACAGTGAGCTGCGACAACGGGAGGCGCGGAACGAAGAAGTAGGCCAGGAGACTGGAATGCTCGCCCGACACACGCAAATTCTCGCACGGAAAGCGCAACGGCAGACTGTTGCAAGAGTTCCATCATGGACACAGGCGACCAATTTAACACCATCGGTCATTGGCTTAGCACGAGAGGACGCTTGCCTTGATATGAACAGCTCCGCAATAATTCCAACACGCTGCTCCGCGAATCGCTGTCCTTATCCGATAGCAGTATGTGGACGCTGCTCCGCTGGAACGTCGCCACATCGCACGGCCGCTGCTGCTGCTGCGACGGCTGCTGTTGTTGCTGCTGTTGAGGCTGCTGCTGCTGCTGCAGCGGCCGGCCTGAAGAATTTATCATGTCTATTTTTGTCTAGATGTACCGTGGTGGCTCGATGACTTTGTTATACGTATGGTGGAAAACAAACGAGTTCAGGATTAGACATGCATTGAATGCGGTCGAACATTCAATTCAGGGACTAAAAACTCGTGCTCGTAGCAAACGAGCCGCAGGATACAGACGAAAATATGCCTAAGACCAGCAATGACCGCTAACATTTACGTCGTAATCGGATCAGCACACGCGGTTAGGAAGTTTAACTCGCGATCTCTATCATTCAACGACCTGCCCGAGCTTGGGGCTCCGTCCCGTGACTTGCTCGTTCTCTCTGCCTTCGGCGGCTTGCTATTTCCTGACTTTCACTCCCTTGCTATCCTCTTACCCCCGTATCTTTCTCTTGCAGGAGACCTCTATCTGGTCTGGTGGTTGGTCTCAGCCATTCAGTTCAAGCAATCCAGCGTACCACTTCACCAGCAGCCACAAGGGAAACCTTTCGCCACACACACCCAGCAGAAAGCATGCCTCCTCATGACCTGACCTGACAGCATTGTCGTTGCCAGCAGCAACTGGTTACGGGGATCACGGCTCACGATTCACCACTGGGGAAAGCCGGAAAACAAGGATCCGCATTCTGACCGCAAATATCTTCGGCCTGAAGATTGACACTTTTTCGTGCGGAAGGCACAGCAGAAAGTTTGACACTTTTTCGCACTCGGGAGCAAATATCGCGGAAAACAATCCGTGGGTTTGCCTCGCTGTTTTTGAGCGGAATGCTGTGCGATTTGCGGATAGTTTCACGATTTCTCTCGAAAGAGTAGGGTTCCGTCACATGTACAATATCTGGTCCCACTGGATAGCAAAAGACAAAATAATTTGTTAAAGCTAGTGTGTTCTGGCATAGTTTAGGGGGAAAACCAGTGTTGGAGGGGGAATGCTACTGGAGCTTTGATCCGGTCTCTGTACATCTTTTTCCTGACTGCCCTATCCAGCGGTGGCTGTCCGAGAAGCTGCTTTGCTGGCACACTGTTGTGGTGGAAATGCCACTGCTCAAAACCTAACCCTCAAAATGCCCCGCAGCTGCGTTTTCACCACTCACGCCACATCAGCTTTCGGCCCCAGTGAAACGCGAGCACAATTTTGGACCACACGGAGTGGGGACCCCTATCCACACGGATGTTGTCTGACGCAGAAATATCACAACCAGCTGGCCTTTTCCGTAGGACAACCAATGACGAAGGGCCTCGGTCAGGGAAAAACCTGCCCGTTGGATTGGATGGGTTGCAACGGCCATCTAGGAGCACCTTGACACGTGACAAAACCTGACCATCGATGCTCAAGAATTCCGCGGCGCTCACCTCCGCCAATATCCTGTGGACTCCCCCTTTTCCCCTCCGCCTTCTATCCGCTCTTGCCCAACAGCCCCTGCCGCGCGCGCGAATTGTGCTTCTGCTCGTTACAACGAAACTCGCTATGGTTACACTCCTGAATTCCCCGTTTGCGATTCTGCCTCAAGCGGTACACTCGCATTAGCGCACATCGGGAAAACGGACTAGCCTAAATTGCAGCACCTAGTTCTGAGCCACAACGCCGCCATGTACGGTACCAAATCTCCTGTTCCCACCCTGCTGCTTCTTTCCTTATGAGGCTTGCATACCGATGGAGGACGACGAAGAAGTAGCGGTGCCGGGATACGTACGCGATGTCGAGGAACTGCTCCGAGACTATGTGCAGGTTGGTAAGCCCGCCGTTGTTCTCGCATAATCATGCGTTTATGTGAAATAGATGAGCAAGCGTGTGGCCCCTACGACTCGATGTTGCTTTCGGGTGCTCCATAGCTTGAGAGTATCAGCCTACTACCTTTCTCACCCCAGTTAATGTCAACCCAGAGTCAGCTAGCTCGAACTTTGTCTAGGATTCGGCATCACTTCCCGCCTCCATAGTTCGAGCGCCCTTCGCTATCCTCCCTCGCAGCTCGGCTATCCGTCTCCGTGTCGGCTATCCGTCTCCGTCTCGGCGAGCCGTTTGGCGCTTTTTGAAGAGCTTCGGATGTCATTTCCTGCCATCCCCCCTCGCAGCGCGGCGATCCGTCTCTGGCGGCGTTTAAAGCTGTGTGGCGCGCGCGCCGTTTCTCGTTCGTCCACGACGCGTGCCCTAAAGACATCGACCCGCGCCGCTTCCTGCAGCTGCTCTTCGGCGCGGCCCTAGGTGAGCTGCTGGTACTGCGTTTGGTGAGTGAGCAGGCACGGCCATGGGATTTATATCCCCGCTAAGAGATTGCTCAGTTGGGTCACGGGGCAATCCTGGAGGCGCACTCCACGGCCGAGTGAGATCCTCTGACGTGTCACCTATTAAGACGCCACTAACGCCGTTGTAGGGTTCTTGCAGGCTGTGCCATCCGCTTGTGGTGCCCCCCCCGCCACACATTGCAGCCCCGACGCCACCGCTGCTGCCGCTGCTGGCGCTGCTGCTGCCCCTGAGACCCCTTCCCCTGACGCCACTGCCGCCAGTGCTGACGCCCCTGCTGCTGCTGCCAACGGCAATGCCGCCGGTGCTGCTGAAGCGCGTCAAGCAGCCGAGCGCGTGCCTTTTACTCACGGGCAAGGAGCGAGGGAGGGAGTGGCACGGGAGGAAGGGGAGGAGGGGGTTGAGGGGGGAAAGGGCGAGGAGGGTCGCCTGTTTGTGGGAGGGCGTCTGCTGTCGGCAGTGGGAGCGGTGTTCACCCTCTATTGCCTCTTCAACACCCAGCGCACCGCTCCCTATCCGCCCACCCTCATCTACCTCCCCATTGGTGAGACGTGCATCCCTTTGCCTAGATGTCTTACACCATAAGATGGCTTGACGCTGTGATGGCATCATGTCATCTCGCCATGACCCCATGATGTGCTCATGTCATGCTTTGCTGCCCTTGAAGACTCTCTCTCCCCTCACTTTTCCCCCTCCCCCCTCCCCCTGCCCGCTGCCCCCTGCCCCCCGCTCCTACCCACAGACTCTCTTCGTCTCTTGCTCCTATTTGCCAGGGAAGCCCCCCACCACAGGGCATGGGACGCCGTGGCTGCCCTGCAAACCCTCTTCTTCGGCCCACATCCCTCCCATCCTTTTTCTCCTCCCCCCGCTTCATCCTCCTCCTCCTCCCCTTTTCCGAATTCGTCTCCGCCCTCATCGGCGTTTGTGGTGGGAGCGATGCCGCTGCCGCAGCAGCTGCAGGGGGACGTGCAGCAGCGGGCGGCGCAGGCGAGGAGACTCGTGGAGCAACAGCTACGGGTCATGAAGCAGAAGTGAGTGGGGTGGGTGGGTGGGTGGGAGGGGCGGTGGGTGGGTGGGGGGAAGGCGGAGAAGTGTTGCTGCCGCAGCAGCTGCAGGGGCAGCAGAGGGCAGGCAGGCGAGGAGACTTGGGGAGCAGCAACTGAGGGTCATGAAACAGAAATGAGTTGGGGAGGAAGGGGTGGGGAGGGGGGGGAGTAAAAAAGAGGACGATGCTGATTCGTCTTGTCTATGTTTATCATTGCATGTCTCTGCCTGTTTCTGTCCACACCCACCCACTCACCCTCTCGCCACCTGCACGTGACTTTCCCCCGCCCCGACATCACATCACATGCCCACCAGGCTCTTTGCTCACCTGCCCATTGAGCGCCACATTCAGTCCGATGCTGTAAGATAAGATATCACTGCATCTGCCACGCACCCTGTCCGCTGCACCTGCCGCCCACCCCGTCCGCTGCACCTGCTGCCCACCCCGTCCGCTGCACCTGCCGCCCACCCCGTCCGCTGCACCTGCCGCCCACCCCGTCCGCTGCACCTGCCGCCCACCCTGTCCGCTGCACCTGCACCTGCCATGCGCCACATCATGTGTTTTCCACCTGCCTCTGCTGGATGCACTTTCTCACCTCGCCCCGCCTGACATCGTTGACTGGTAGCACAACTCTCATACCGCTGTGTAGCGCGTCCATGTTTCTGTGTGTGTGTGACCCATGCTGCTGCATGCCGCATATTGCTGCATGCCCCATATTGCTGCGTGCCCCATGTCTTCCAGCCTGGGGCAGTGGATGTGCAGCAAGCCGATGCATCATGCTGGCGCCACTGCGCTCCTTTAAGCTTATCAATGTGTGTGCATCTATGCATGCATGTCCCCCCGTGTGCCCCATGTATCTGCATGCCCCGTGTCTTCCAGTGTGAGGCAGTGGATGTGGAGCAAGCCGATGCGGCATGCTGGCTGTACGACAACTCCCTGCAGCGCCTGAGAACCTGTAAGTCCCCCCCTTTTCGAGTCTCGACCCTTTACCTGCCTTCCCGACGTTGAAGATTTTCATCAATATGCATACAGGCTTGCTGCCCTCCATGTGCTCTATTCTCCCTCATTCTCCCACTTCCCGCATGCGCCCATCTCTCGCACTGCTGCTCATGCCTTCCCCCCAGGCGGGTTACTCACAGAGGGTGCATCCTTTGCACAAGAGGGCGAGCTAGCAGCTGTCTTCTCAGCCTACAGTGCAGCGAGAGAGGCAGCCGTGGGGGCAATAGGCCAGAGGGAGAGCTAATCACGTGGGGGAGGCGGCAGTGGCTGCAATAGCCACGTGTAGGATAGCAGCATTGAGACATCGCCCAAGGGCGAGCTGGCAGCGGTGTTCTTAGCGTACAGTGCTGTGAGGGAGGTGGCTGTGGGAGAATTGAGACAGGATGAGACATGGCCATGTGTTGTATAGGGGGCACGTTGTGTGGGCGGCGCGTTGTGTGGGCGGCGCGTTGTGTGGGCGGCACGTTGTGTGGGCGGCACGTTGTGTGGGTGGCACGTTGTGTGGGCGGCATGTTGTGTGGGTGGCACGTTGTGTGGGCGGCTCGTTGTGTGGGCGGCTCGTTGTGTGGGCGGCATGTTGTGTGGGTGGCACGCATCTGTTGGTCCGTGGCGCAAGAGGGCGAGCTGGCAGCGGTGTTCTCAGCCTACCGTGCAGCGAGATAGGTGGCTGTGTTGGTAATGAGGCAGGGAGGGAGGCAGCCAGCAACGTTTGTGAAATTCTCGATACTTGGGTACCTACTGGTACTTCAATTCGTCAGCGTGCCTTGCCCTTCCAGTACCATGGCTTGGGATGAGCTTGCTTGCCGTGCCATGTGCATAAGACGTCTTGCCCATGCTGTGTCTTGCCCGTGCTGTGCCTTGCCGATGCTGTCCCTTGCCGATGCTGTGCCTTGCCGATGCTGTGCCTTGCGGATGCTGTGCCTTGCCGATGCCGTGCCTTGCCCATGTAGTACCATGTATATGCTGCCAGCTCCTGACTTCCCACATGACCCACACCACTCCACATGGCCCTGCTATCAAACTGAGAGAAGTGAATGATAGGGTAGAGGGAGAGTACAGATAGATATACCTAAGCATTGTACCCTCTAAGAGGTGACCCTATACAGTCTATGCAAACATAACAAATACACATGTTTGACACACCCCCTAGACTGCATAGGGGAATATCCTAAACAAGCAGCTCAGGGCGGCACTACTAGTCCGACCTCTGAGACAAGGGTCTAAGAGACCAGTCAGAAGGAGTACAGGCAAGGCGAGAACAAGACCAGGGCGGCACTACTAGTCCAGCCACTGGAAGAAGACACAAGTCCAGTCTGAGTATACATATAAAGGACAGTACAAAGTCAAGGCCCTAGCAAGTGAGAGGCTAGAGGAACTAGACCAAGTTGTACACAGTGCCGCTGATGATCTTTAGGCGCAAGCGCCTTCGTAAAGATATCAGCTGTGTTGGCACCTGAGGCCAAGTGTACTACGCGAGCCTGACGTCGCTGCTGTAGCTCACGCAGGAGGAAGTACCGCAGCCAGGGCTGACGTTTCAAAAAAAGGCACTCTGATTTTGCCCCCCAAAAATTTTCCCGAGTCTGAAGGGCCATTTTTCGAAATTTCGCTACTCTGAAATCTCAGTGTCCAAAAGTCAACGAGTCTGAAATACTCAGGGTTCAGAATGTCGACTCAGAGTCCTGCACGCAAGTCGAAAACTTATATTTCCAGAGTTCACACCAGACCCCACGATTGGTTTTAGGGTAGTAAGATTCATAAGCTTTTCGTCAAGAAAATTTACGTGGATTGATAAGTGTTTCATAGCAAAAGTTTGCCTTTTCATTAGGGCGTGTGAGAAAAAAAAACTGATTTGGCAACTAGGAGAGAGGATTTCACTTTTTTTTAACTAGAGTAAATTCCGCATTCTAATAACAGTCGTTTCTGGTCAACTGAAATTCTATAAAAATGGGACGGTCACGATCGATTGCGATCGTTTCGACGTTTTTTAACCATTCGATGGTCACATGTGATAAACGTCCACGATCGATCAACCGGGGCGCTGCAATGGCGTGAAGTTTCTCCCATCGCCCAATTCCACAGCTTCCCGCCTGCACTCTGTTTCGATCCTCCCCCCTCCCCCTCCATTTTCGACCCCCCCCCCCCCCCTCCTCCCCCTCCGTTTCGCTTCCCCCCTCCCCTCCATTTCGCTTCCACGCCTCCCCTCCGTTTCGACCCCCCCCCCCCCTCCCCTCCCCCCCTCCCCTCCCCCCCTCCCCTCCGTTTCGTTCCCCCCTCCCTCCCCCTCCCCCCCCCCCTCCGTTTCGCTTCACCCCTCCCCCCGGTTTTGATTCCCCCTTTCCCCCTCGAATTCGATTCCCCATCCCCTCCTTTTCGAATTCTCCCCCTCAGGGCTTGTTTTTACACGATACAACGTCACGACACTTCGTATCAAAACTGTTATTGACGGGCAAATTTGACTGCAAAATCAGCAATGACACGAAGTTGCCTGAAAGTGTTGTGTTGGAAACAACACCCCCTCAATTGAACCGTGGCGTGGACAGTGTGATTTCTTAGAGTTAGTTTCACATCGTCTGAGAAATCAGGAAAAAAAAATCGCCAGCCAGATGAATGATTTTCTTTTTACCCCTTTTAGGAACTTCACAAAAGTCGGGTAATAAGTAGGATTCCGGGTTGCGGGGGTTTGTTGGAGGATTTTTTTTATGGTTGCAAGGGACTTAGCCGATTTTTTCGGGTTGCGGGAGCTGAGGGAGGGATATTTCTTGCTGTGGGGACTTAGCCGAAATTTCAGGGTCGCAGGAGGTGTGGGAGGGATGTGTCTGTCTGTGGGGACTTGGTCGAATTTCTGGGGCTGCGAGGGGAGTTGGGAAGAAATGTGCTGGGGGGAACTGTCTCTGGCTGCTAGGACTTAGCCGGATTTTTTAGGTTGCGGGGTGGGGTGTGTGTGAAAAGACTTGACTCTGGCCCTTGGGGAGTTAGACGAAATTTTTGGGTGAGGGCAGGTAGGTGCAGTACTAGTATGTGTGTCTCAGGGTCCGTACGCGCTGCGCTCTGAAAACTCAGTATCCGCAAACTGCGAAGTCTGAAATTCTCAGGATTCAAAAACATATAACTCTGAAGGGTTCAGCATTCAGAAAATGGCAAGTCTGAAAAATGAGGATCGGCAAAAAAATAGGTCTGAAATTTCAGACAATCAGACTAAAATAGTATGATAAAATCAGCCCTGACCGCAGCTGAATGTGCTTCGCTCTGCCCTCGAGTCGAGGCTCCTGACACAGGAGGATCATGGCCCTGTTGTCAGCGAACAGGACCGGGGCAGAGCTAGGCCGCTCACCTAAGTCAGTGAGCAAGAAGGTCAGCCAGCGGAGCTCCTGTGCCGCCATGGCACCAGCGTAGATCTCAGCCTCACAGCAGGATTGGGCAACAGACGAGGAGCGGGTAGCCCTCCACGAGACGGCACCTGAGCCAAGGCTGAAGCAGTAGCCCTGGGTAGACCTGAGTGTCTCGGCGTCGTCTGCCCACGAAGCGTTTGTGTGTCCAGTAAGGACCACTGGCCTGCGTCCTCCTAGCACTAACCCCATGCCTGATGTACTAGCAAGATAACGCAAAACCCTCTTAACGGCAGACCAGTGCTGCGGTCGGTGTCTGCCTGTGGCCACAAAGCGAGCCAGGATGCTGAGAGGGTATGCGAGAGCTGGGCGAGTGCAAGTCATCAGGTACATGAGGCAACCCACCAGCTCTGCGTAGGGGCCGCTGGGCTCTACCGACTCCTCAGACACTGGAGCGGAGAGTCTGTGGTCTACAGGCAGAGGGGTGGGCTGTGCACAGGAGAACTGAAGGCCGAACCTTTGAAGGACCTGGCGCACCAAGTGTGACTGAGTCGAAGTGATGGTGCGCGATGCTCTGTCCCTGGAGATCAGCAAGCCAAGGTAGCGACGCAGTTCTCCAAGGTCAGTGCACGTGTGTCTCTTCAGCAGCTCTGCCTTCACGGAGGCCAGTGCGTCCCTGTCTGCTGTGGCAAAGACCAGGTCGTCGACGTAAACAAGGATGTAGAACGGAGTCTGGCCAGAACGAACGAAGAGTGAGGGGTCTGCGGAAGCAGGAAAGAACTGCATGTCAGCAAGGGTAGCACGGAGAGTGGCGTGCCACTCACGGGGAGCCTGGCGCAGGCCGTAGACGGGGCGCCGCAGGGGCCACTGGGTCCCAGGAGGGAAGGTGCCAGTAAAGCCCTGAGGGCGACGCAAGTAGACCTGCTCGTGTAGGCTGCCCTGAAGGAAGGCAGTGGAGAAGTCGAGGGAGTGAAGCTCGTAGTCACGCTAAGCCGCTAGGTATAACAGAACCCGAAGAGTAGTCATCTTCGGGGTCGGAGCGAAGGTCTGGAAGAAGTCCACCCCCTCACGCTGACTGAAGCCTCTAGCCACATAGCGCGCCTTGAACACAGGCGGCTCTCCAGGAGGGCGCTTCACCTTGAAGAGCCAGCGGCCATCGACTACGTTCACCCCAGGCGGGGGAACTGCGTCGACGAAGGTGCCGGTGGATCTCCAAGATGCCATTTCCTGCTCCATGGCAGCTATCCACTGCGAGGCCCAGGGTCCCGAATTCGCCTCAGCGTAAGTGCGAGGGTTCGGAATGTCGAAAGCGTCTGGGTCACCCTCAGGGACTAGCAGCATGGAACAGAGATGGGGAGCAGCCTCGGACAGGAAAGCAAGCTCGAACTGGCGGTCCTCCAGGACGTCACTGCCAAGGGCAGGAGCACCCCCGACAGACGGAGGACAGGCAGGGTAAGAGACCAGAGCTGTGGCATAGTCAAGGCGGCGGGTAGAGGCGAAGTCAGCGACCGCAGCGACAAGAGCGTCAAGACACGAGACCGGAACAGACGGGTCGGTAATGAGAGAGGCAAGGAGCCGAGGAACAAGAGGACGAGCGGCACGAAGGTAGTCAGACAGCGGGGGGGGTGCAACAACAAGGGAGGACGGAGGAGGCGACGGCAGAAGGGGAGGACGAGACGCATGGGAACGAAGCAACATAGGGTGGGAGCGCAAGACAGGCGAGGCAGGACGAGCACGGGAGGGACGGTGAGACCAGACGTGCGACGGAGGAGTCGGGTCACGAGACAGGGGAGGGGACACAGGAGGGGAACGAGGGGGAAGACGGGTCGGGGACGAGTCCGGCGGAGGGAACACAGGGCCGTAGACGGGAAGAGGAGGAGACGGTCGGAGAGGAACAGACGCAAGGTCGGGGGACGGAAGGCCGAGCAGGCGAAGGGCTGACACCGGCGGGGACTGCTGCTGCGGCGGCACAACGGCGACACCTGGACCGCAAGCTGCTCCTCGGCTACCACCGACACACTCCACACCAGCACCCCGAGAGGGACCACCCCCAGGGCGACCTGGACGAGCAACCCCAGAGTCAGTGAACGGGTGCTGCGACGGCGGCGGCGGCGGCGGCGGCGGCGACAACGACGGCTGCAGCGGCGGCAGAGGCGGTGGAGGAGGGGACTGGGGAGGGGACGCCGGAGGAGGGGCGGCCGGCGAGGACTGCGCAACAGGGCCACTAGAGTTAGAAGACTCCTCAACCGGGTCCACCGACGGACGGGGGGTGACGTGGGACACACCAGAGGGGGCAGGACGGGGAGGAGGAGGAGGAGGGGGAGGGACTACCGGGGAAGGAGTGACCAGGAACAGGGGGGGGGTAACCGGGGGACCGCGGTGGGGGAAGCGACGGTAGTAGGAGGCGGACTCGTCAAAAGTGACGTCGCGAGAGTGAAAGAAGCGGTGAGACGGCGGGTGGTAAAAGTGCCAGTCGGACGCGTCCAGGGGAAAACCGAGGAAGACGCAGGGAAGGGTGCGGGCAGTGAGCTTGTCCGTGCCGGAGGCACGGACGTGAGCAAGGCAGCCCCAGACGTGGAACGCAGACGCATCACCAGGAGACCCAGTCCAAAGACGGGTCGGCGAAACCTGCGGCTGCTGAGGGTGCGGCCACAAGTTAAGCTGGTGAGAGGCGTAGCGCACAGCGAACGTGTGAGAGTACGACCCCGTTACACCACTTGGCCTTTTCTTATTTCCTTCCCTTTTCATTTCTCGTTTTACCGCATCTCATTTGGTTT